CCCTTCACATGAGGTTATTGCAGCCCTTCACCTGAGGTTATTGCAGCCCTTCACTTAAGGTTATTGCAGCCCTTCACCTGAGGTTATTACAGCCCTTCACCTGAGGTTATTGCAGCTCTTCACCTGAGGTTATTGCAGCCCTTCACATGAGGTTATTGCAGCCCCAAGGCCCAAATAAGATGTTTTCTTATCATCTGAACTGATGCTGTTATGCTATATAAGTTATATTCAGTGAATATCCTCTCATTCTTATCCAGTCCTGTTATATGTATATATTATAAGTTATCTGTCAGATAGACCACACAGATCAATCACTGTTATGTATACTTTCTGTCCCTTACTTTAGGTGAAATGTAAAGTGTTCATCCTGATTTGGAATTAGAGGTAGAAGTGTTGGTGTGTCTCTTGAGTTGCTGGTGAAGTGTTGACCCTGACTTTGAATTAGAGGTGACATGTTGACCCTGACTCTGAGCTAGAGGTAAAGTGTTGACCCTGACTCTGAGTTACTGGTAAAGTGTTGACCCTGACTCTGAGCTAGAGGCAAAGTGTTGACCCTGACTATGAGTTACTGGTAAAGTGTAGACCCTGACTATGAGTTACTGGTAAAGTGTTGACCCTGACTATGAGTTACTGGTTAAGTGTTGACCCTGACTTTGAATTACTGGTAAAGTGTTGACCCTGACTCTGAGTTACTGGTAAAGTGTTGACCCTGACTCTGAGCTAGAGGTAAAGTGTTGACCCTGACTATGAGTTACTGGTTAAGTGTTGACCCTGACTTTGAATTACTGGTAAAGTGTTGACCCTGACTCTGAGCTAGAGGTAAAGTGTTGACCCTGACTATAAGTTACTGGTAAAGTGTTGATCCTGACTCTGAGTTACTTGTAAAGTGTTGACCCTGACTCTGAGTTACTGGTAAAGTGTTGACCCTGACTATGAGTTACTAGTAAAGTGTTGACCCTGACTTTGAATTACTGGTAAAGTGTTGACCCCGACTCTGAGTTACTGGTAAAGTGTTGACCCCGACTCTGAGTTACTGGTAAAGTGTTGCACTTGACTCTGAATTACTGGTAAAGTATTGACTCTGACTCTGAGTTACTGGTGAAATGTTGACCCTGACTCTGTGTTACTGGTAAAGTGTTGACCCTGGCTCTGAGTTATTGGTAAAGTGTTGAGTCTGACTCTGAGAGATTGTACAAAAGCCACACAAATGAATAGCAACTTTCCATAATTTAGAGTGAGATATAGTGGAGTCAGACAATGAATTAAACTGCATCATACAGCTCTTTCATCCTTCTTGGACTCGTCAGTGGTGCTAAGTGCTGAAATTTTGAAGCATAGGAGGTGACTAATGAAAATCAAAAATGATCAAAAGAAAAGTCAAAATCTAGATGAGGAGGCACAGCAGTACCATAATTAGATAAAATTCATAATTGATTTAGAGGTAAAGTGTTGACCCAGACTCTTGAGTTAGAGGTAAAGAGCTGACCCTGACTCTGAAGTAAGGGTAAAGTGTTGACCCAGACTCTGAGTTAGAGGTAAAGAGTTTACCCAGACTCTGAGTTAGAGGTATAGTGTTGACCCAGACCCTGAGTTAGAGGTAAAGAGTTGACCCAGACTCTGAGTTAGAGGTATAGTGTTGACCCAGACCCTGAGTTAGAGGTAAAGAGTTGACCCAGACTCTGAGTTAGAGGTAAAGAGTTGACCCTGACTCTGAGTTTGAGGTAAAGAGTTGACCCAGACTCTGAGTTAGAGGTAAAGAGTTGACCCTGACTCTGAGTTTGAGGTAAAGAGTTTACCCAGACTCTGAGTTAGAGGTATAGTGTTGATGTGTCTCTGGAGTTAGAGGTAGAGTGTTACCCTTACTTTGAGTTAGAAGTCAAATACTGGATCCCTGGGCATATTTGAGGAAAAGTATGATACTGTAGACATCAGAAAGGAACAAACAAGAGATGCTCTATAACAATACAAGCATGACTTTATAACTATCAATTAGTAAATCTAGTGTGGACCCATGAATGATGTGTCACTATGACACCTACCAGCAGAAGAATGACTTATTGTGTATCATGTTCTATAAAAACACTTGTCGCCTGGAGGATGATTGATGGGCTGACAGAAATATCAGGTGTGTAGCTGTCAATATCATGTCAAATTCCAGCTGAGATAGAAAACTATTTCACTGAATATTCATACAAGATTTCTGCTACTTATTTAAAATGAGGTGTGTTTCCTCTGGCTTGCACACCAGACATTGGGCTATTTGGGTGACATGCCCCAACACTACACATCCATCTGCCAAAATGTCTTTTGTGTGGTTTTAGGGTTTGAGGAAATATGGACTAGTAGTAACTTAATAACCTTTCAGGAGTGACCTACAGACCAGTGTAAAATTTATTTCATGTCTTTAGTCTGGTTTTAGGGTTTGAGGAAACATGGACGAGTAGTAACTTAATAACCTTACAGGAGAGACATTTATTATACATTACAATACAACTACAGACCAGTGTTAAATTCCTCTCATTTGAATTATACATACCAGTCAGAGATGTTGATTTAGCCTGGCTTGATTGTCTCCTTGTTGAATAAGATATTAAATTTATCTGTGTAATGTGTCAACGTTATGATAATATTATTTTACCAGCTTAATACAGCAGAGCACAAATCTGTCATTTCATTAAATGTCAAGTATTCGTCTATACATATGTATATGTAGATGAGTTTGTGAGAGCTCTGAATAGTGTGGCTAGGTTTTATAGCAGTAAGCTTATAACCTGTGGTAGAAGTACATACAGCATGACCACAATCTACTTCATTAATTATCCTTTCTACAAATGTCTACATATTTCCGTTCCATGGATGGCTCATCTTCACGAAATTATACTAAGAACAGGTATTATTTTCATCCATTTATTCACAGATTTCATGTATAGATTTTTAAGTACTCCTGTTTTCCTTTGGGATTGTGGCCGAGAGCCTTTATACCTTTATATAAATTTATAGGTATTAACAGTTGAATGAAGTATGTCAACTTGATTGTAATAACACTAACTGTTGTCTGCAAATATAGTATAATTATTAGTTGTAAAACTTTTGAAATTTTTTGTCCTAGTGCCGCTGTCATTGAGGGATATTACATAGGTATACATTTCTATCTTTTCTGTCGAGTTGTTTGGATCTACTAGATAGTCTCTTTACTTTGGTTTATTATAATTAAAGTTTTGTAGTCTTCATACAAAAATACCATGTGTAGCCTGCAATAATCCTAGGGCAGGGGGAGCAGCACAATATACATGTAAATCTTAGTCAAAGTCAGGCAGTGGGCTTATTACAGTATACTATATAACTCTTAGCACTGACATTATATATTCAAGATTGTCTGCTCTCATCTCATAACTGCCAATGGATATGTGAAAAATTTTAATTACATTAAAAAATGAAAGAAAGAAGAAAATATCAGACAACAGAAGTATGCACATATTGTATGTGTAAACATTGAACCGATTTCATTTGGCATTTAAAGGCTTATGAATGAAATATTGAAACCACCCAGTCTGACCTTCTGACTGTCCGACTGTTCGACTGTCCGACTGTCCGTCTGTCTGGAATTGTGTCAAGTGTATCTAAAAAGGTGCTGAAGCAATAATTCTCAATCTCAAACTTGACATACTACATCCTTTTGATATAAAGTTGTGCCCTTTTGTTTTTTGTAAAATTTTGCCAACATTTGGTAGAGTTACGCCCCTTTTGGTAGATATTCTATATGGAATAGTGTGTCATGTAGGTCTAATAAAGTGCTAAAGCAATATTTCTCAAACTTGGCATACTACATCCCTATGATATGTAGTTGTGCTCTTCCACTTTTCATTTTAACTTGATAAAGTACTACAGCTAATGATAGCCTATAATTTGACATATTAGACATTCCACAACCATTACCATAAAAACACTTTGGAGGCTTCTGATTGTCCCAAATTAAGATATTATCTGATTAAGTTGAAAATTTGTATAAACAGGTTTAGGGGATGACACATATAATGATACCATTTTCGAATAATAAAAAATTGTTTCATTTGGTTGCCATGATGACCAAATGAAGACCTCTAAGAGGAATATTGTTGGGTTAACCCCCTAAAACTATTGTTGATTGGGGAGTGGGTTTATTAGTCGACCATCCTGGCCACAGTTCTAGTTTTAACAGTAATGAAGTTGAGTGGGTTTATTATCATATGTAGTCTTACTATTGCATAAATACATTCAAGAAGTGGTGATACACTGCCTAGTAAATTGATTTGATATCACTGTGGCATAAAACATTTTCTTTGTTGACTTTAGTTGGCTTTTGTATCAAGCTGAAGTTTTTAGCTCACCTGGCCCAAAGGGGCCAAATGAGCAATAGGGATACAGCGTCATCTGGCATATCTCTTGTCTGTAAACTTTATCTACAAAATGCTACTAGTCATGAACGACTGAGGGGATTTTGACAAAATTTGGTCAGAAGAAAAAGATGCATATACAATGTAAGAACTGCATGGCCCTTTGGTGTGGACCTACCCTCTGGTCTTTCTGTGTTATATCTTTAAAACAGTTGGAATCCATTTGTTATGTAAGAATTGACACTTGGGGAGTGGCACACTTTAAGGGGCATTATTCCTTTGTCAGATTTTTGATGTGATTGAGTTACCAAACTGGTTACCATAGAAACTCTTACTGGGCATCAAAAGAGAAAGACAGTCATGATGTCATGATGTACGTATTTAGCCATTTGTCTTTCCCACCAAACAGGTCATGTGACTGAGCTATAATTAAGAAACAATTGAAATACCATATCTATAGGCATGTATACTATTGCTGGGCTTTAAGATCAAGGTGAGTGATGCAAGTTCTATATGCCTCTTGTTATCAGAGATGGAGCAGAAATTAGGGCATATTATGTTATGTTTTTCATTTTATTTTTCAAGATTTAGATAAAATTTTTATCATATTTTTTTTGTTTTTTTCAGGTCTCAAGCTGTTCAAAATGCTGAGGCTACAGGGCTTTATTCCAAACCCAGGGACACAAGTTATCATCCTTACTTGAAAAATCAAAATAACGAAACCAGCCTTACTCTCAATATGGATGACACCATGGCTTCGGTGGCTTCCCAGAATCCCCCCAACAGGAAGTCACTGACTCTGACTCAAATTATGCTGCTAAATGCTGTGGTATGTGGGGTAGAGGTGTGTGCTTGCTCGGGGTTCACCTACATCCCGCCGATGTTACTAAAAGCAGGTTACACTGAGGAGAATATGAGTATTATACTGGGAATGGGGCCGCTGCTCGGCTTCTTCTTCGTACCTGTGATTGGCCGTGCCAGTGACCGCTGTAGGAGCCAATATGGCCGCCGCCGGCCATTCATCCTTATACTCTCATTGGTGATCATACTGTCTCTCCTTACAATACCATATGGAGATTTTTTCAGTACAGCTTTCTTAGGCTACACTCCTCTCAGTAAGTCGGTCAGTTTGATTGTTCTGACTTTAAGTGTTGTCATGCTAGATTTCGCAAGTCAGGCCTGTTTGACACCATGTGAGGCATTGCTCTCTGATGCATCAAAGGGGACTACACAGAAAGATCGTGTGTTTATGGTTTACTCACAAAGTGTAAGCCTCGGGGGATTTCTCGGATATCTAATCACAGCCATTGATTGGAGCAATACTTCCATTGGTGGTTATTTTGGGACTCAAGAACGATCTGTATTTACGTTACTTGTTATAATATTTTTATTTCTCCTTTCTGCGACAATATTAGTAGCTCAGGAACAGCCATTGTCAGTGGCAGAGGAAGCCGAGACGGAGAATTTAATTCAAGCAGAAGAATCAGGAAAAGTATCTGTTACCGTAGGAAATGGAGGTGCTTTGGAATCAGGATATGAGTCAAGTGGCTCAGAGGATGGCCAGCAGAGCCCAGCATCGTATTCTCCAGGAAGGACAGGAAAGAGCCACAAATCTGTTAAAAAGAAACGTTCCTTTAACTTGAATCCTTTCAAGGGTATTTTAATAATCATAAGTCCGTTGTTTTGTTTTGGACGTTTGAGAATATTTACATATCTTTATAATCTATGGAGATTTCTGTGGTTAAATATATATGACAGATTGCCAGAATCTTTACGACGACTATTTGATGTTCCGGTAGTACTTCAAAAATTAGCAATGGCCAACTTTTGCAGCTGGACTGCAGTGATGGGTTTTAATTTATTTTTCACAGACTTTGTAGGTCAAGCTGTTTACCAAGGCAATCCAAATGCCCCTGAAAATTCCTATCTACGCAACCGCTATGATGAAGGAGTTCGAATGGGCAGCTGGGGACTGTTATTTCACTGTATCACCTCAACTTCTTATGCATTTTTCATCGAAGGTCTTGTAGAAAAGTATGGCACGCGAGAGACTTACTTGAGTGGAATGTTTATATTTTCAATGTCCATGTTTGGCATGGTACTTTACAAGGATATAATTTTTGTGAACGTGATGGCATCGCTGACGGGATTTGCTTATGCAACGTTAACCACCATTCCATTCATTCTCATCACAAAGTATCATTCCAATAAAGAGGTCAGTGACTGCTAAAGTGTTTTTAACCATCTAAGTAATATTATCATAAAACAAAGAGTACACATCACTTGTAGCAACAGTCAAGTGGTCCAGTATCCTGTTTATATATTGTAACCAGCTCATAAGGCCAATATTCAATGTAAATGGAAATACAGAGAAGAATATATATATGATATAATGATAAAGGTTAAATTTTGTCAGCATTTCTACTGTAATAGACTTAAGTGAGCTGAATTGTTGGAATATTTATATGGAAATTGAGTATATTTTCCTGAAGTCAAATTCTACCCAAATTGATAAATACTTTTCTGTGTGAAAAATTTTACTGTTTTATATTTGCTCTTTAGTATGCAGTTGGCTTTTGAAAAATTCAAGTTGATTAAAAATTCTAAATAATTTCATGGATACATTGGGAATAAAACAGAAAGTGATCTGATATCACTGGCGTTGTAAATAAAGAAATTTAACTTATTTTTCTGGTTTTTGCCCTTCAATAAGAAATTTTTTTCTGAATTTTTGCCCTTCATTAAGAATTTTTTCTATTTTATTGCCGTTACGGAAGAAAACCATTTGATATATTTTGAAAATTGAAGGAATTATCGCTTCATCATCCCTCTAACAATACTTTTTATGATTATTTCAGATTTACTTTGCCGACACAGTGACTTCAAATACGTCTGGGCTGCCTGGAAGTCAACCAGTGGCCACACGTGGTATTGCCACAGACATGGGCACGCTGGACAGCGCCTATTTCCTGTCCCAGGTGGTGCTGTCAGCTGTAATGGGCTACATTGTCCACATGACAGGGACTGTTATTTCATACATTCTAACCGCTGGAACAATGGGAATGGTCAGTTGTTTCCTCATAATACAAATAGTGACCAACAAACAGGATATGCAACAACAGGTATACAGGCAACGGGATCGGAGACGTACCATAAACTTGTAGGGGGGAGGGGGGACCTTGAGTGAAGACATAGCATTCACTTGCAGCAGGACTGCAAATGTACTATCCACTTGTGGGGGGACTGGACAAAGATGTGTACTATTACAGTAACTGTATGAGGAATGGGATGTGGAGACGTTTTACAGGTGAGAAATGTCAGTAAAATTTCGGGATTTTTATTGCATAACAAACATTTTTTAGGGTTAGAAAATTAAAATGTAAATAGCAATTAAAGTAGTGCTGAGTTTATATAAGAGAGAGAATTGGAACATAACAAGGATGTATATATGAACAAATAAGTAAAAAAAACTATCTGAAAAGATACAATTATGAAGGAATTGTGTGAAAAAAGATTCATTCAGCTTGTGAAGATAGAAGGATGAAGTTCCAGGGGCTTATCCAAAACTTAAAAAAAATCTTTTTGGTAGAGATAGAAACACTTACAAGGTATACATTATCACTATGGATATTGATCTGTGCTTGTTATGTCTTCCTGTATCTCTACAGGTGCTTTTACTTACACAGATGTATAATGTGCTTCCTGACCCAGAAACATATGATATGCTTACTGACCCAGATATATAATGTGCTTCCTGTTTATGATCAGTTTCAATAGGTGTTATGGGGTAACTACCACAGTCTGCTCCAAGGGGAGATAGCTAAGCAACTAGACTTTGTCATTCAGTTAAACAAGTACAATATTGTACAGATAATTTGTGTTTGGAGAATTTATGATGTTATCTTTTTGTCTCTCATACACATACTACACCAAAACCTTCAAATTGTTAAGCTTTTGTTAGAAATGTGCTAAAATCATTTAGTGTGTTCAGAGTTAGTGCTTTGGTGAAGAAGAAATCTTTCATGGAAATATTTACTGGGGTTGGACCAGCTTAGTTTACTTGGTACTGCAATTTTTATATAGCTTTGACATTTCAACATTTAATGAATTTGTTACCAATATCATAACCTTGAGATTTGAAATCATGAAGGAAATGTTCCTAGTCTTGTTCCTAAGTATCTACCAGTGCTACTGTTAATATCATTTGTACTTCAGTGTGCATCATATCATTAGAGGTATAGCAGTTATATATATATATATAATTTGAATGTTATCTTAGAAAAAGTTGTTTTCACAAATATTTACAAGCTAATCATGTTTTTGTGATAGAAAATGTTTTTTTCACAAATGTTATTAAACTTGACTTGTTGATGTGATAAAAGTGTTTTTACTCTCACTTCCATACAACTTTTATACAACTAGGCAAGAATTTTGTATTTGAGCCTGTCAGACTATGTTAACAACAAAAATGCTTCTTTTATAAACACCATATGTAAGATTGAAACTCCTGTCATGTTAGCTCTTAGATAACAGTTTGATACCTGCTGTCTGTGTCTTACTTTTAACGCATTTATTTTATGAATCATATCTAAATACCACAAAATGTATTCTGAGAAATCTAGAACAAATTGATGATCACTAATTATTTGAACATTGAATCACTCAAAGCTGGTTTTAGTTTTTGTCAGACAAGATTTGTGTTCTGTTTACTTTTCCCTGCATTTGATAATTTATCAAAATTTCAAATGGCTTCAACTTGTTTTGCATAGTTATTGGTTTGTTAATGACCACCTGCATATTTCTGTGTGCATGATAGGACGATAATTGGATAAAATTAATCATCCGAATTATTAAAACCATAAACCATAAAACCAAAAATGTAATTTCTGATAATCAGTCATTAACTGTCTGTTTGATATTTTCTTGTGTTTTAGTTAATACAAATGTCACGTAACGCATGAAAAGACACCAATTGTTGATCCATCTCATTGTTATGTAAATTAGAAATAAAAATAAGTGAGGTATTTCAGGTTAAAATTATAAAAATAGAGAGTGCATACACATTTGATGTATACTTGTGTTGAATATACAGTCAGCCTATTATAAAATCACTTAAATACCATGAAAAACCTTTCTGATTTTATCTGATAATTGATTACCAGGTATTGATTTTAATTGATTTCCCATAAATACCATGCCAGGAAAAAAAATCAATAATAGTGTTAATTATGTTTGAATGAAGGTAAAAATAAGCATTCTTCTATATAAATATATTGTCAGGGTTACATTGTACTCGCAGTTTCAAAAGGCAAGGGGGAACATTGCAATGATGTCAATTTGATAATCAGTATTATAACTATGCCATTAATATGCATGGATACTGTGTTATAAGTCTACAAAATTAGATGAAAAGAAAGGCAGTTGTGTTAAATGCCAGTTAATTAAAATATTTGGTTGTGTAAATTTATTTTACGTGAAAAAAGAAGTGTTACTCATTGCCCAAAAATCTTGTCATCTTTCTCTGCTTAATTATCATATGGTCTTTTTTGTAGATCAACATTTTATTAATTTTGATCAAGGTTTCTTTGTTAAGTATCAAGTTATTACATTTTCTCACTCATTATATACATCACTATGTGCATTAATTATGATTTACTGATAAATGATCACATGAATTGTGCATCTTTAAATTTTGGGTTTGTGTAGATGATAATTAATATCTTGGGCATTACCACTAGAATTCTATCCACACATATCAATATTTGTTCTTCATTCAAACCTGCATTAATATACGGAGGTCTTCACATTAATAATAAATAGCACTTATTTATGATAAATTATCAAAAATGATGGTTGAAATATTGATATTTATTATGTATTTATCTCTGTATAAGTAGTTAACCTGTCATGCACCTTTGTAGTGATGATGAATCAATGACAGAACCTATCATTAGAATTTTATGTTATATTATTGTTCAATTTTATAAACTGCACTTGATCAACAACCATTTCCGGAAAATTTTCATTAACCTTGATCAAATCTGTTTTCTTTTCATTTTCATTAGTGACTGCTGAAAAAATTAGGCTTAACTTTAAGTATTTTAGTTGAGATTTTATACTAGAATGAAAATTTATTTCTTAAATAGTGTATTTATCAAATTTTTTAAAAAATGTGTTCTTTTACTTTCTCATACTTCATATTTTTCAAAACCTGATCCCTTCAAATTTTTTGGGTGCTTTCATTACCTGAGGTGTGTAGTTCACTGCTCCCAACTCCCCATGGTTTGTCTTGTTAAGGAAGCTAAGAAACAGATTTGTCTGTGCTGATGTGGTTGTGTTCATATGCAAGACTTTTACCATAATTGCTTTGAATGGCATGTGACAGGCCTCTGGTATGGTATTCAGCAACATAGCCACCGGTTACAAGGAAACTCCTCTCAAAATGCCATAGGCTGTAAACAAGATGATAATCAAACTAAAACCTTCAAACTGCTCCAGATACTTGGCAAAAAACTGTTAAATGCAGTGATTTGATTTTAATCGTCAACCTGTCAAAAATCTTTGCAACTCAATCTTCTAGACACATTGGTTAAACTTTGTCAAAAATCTTTTCATTACAATTCCTTGAACTATCTCACAAAATAGTATTTTGAATCTAATCCCTTTAACCTAAAGGTCTTGTCAAACATTGCCAAAAAACTGTTCACCTTATTACATTCAACTGATGGGTGTCATTTATGTACATGTACTGTACTCTGAAAAAATAGTATAAATAAATAAGAATACTTAAGATGCAACTTCCTCTTAACTGGTCTCATCAAACTCTTGCATCAGTATGCACATTATTATCAAATTTAGAAACTCAGTTTGAACAAATAAATTTTTATAAACTTTAACTCCAAAGAGTTTCAAAAATTCTTTGTCGATATTGAATGCAACAAAAAAAAAACACACAAAATCCAAGATACTAAGACTCCCGTGGGCTTTGTAGTCTTTAGTATAACTGTGTTGCTGATTTACGACACACTTTTACAACTTTAGGTATGATTATGTATTATGCAGCTACAAGTAAGGGAGAGACTGAGTGCGTAAAGTAGCTTTGTTTTAAAGCTAGATGATTTATGATGTGATTATACACTTGAATGTTGCCAACAATGTTGTTCTTAACTTGTGTAAGTATGTTATATTTTATATGAGCAATCTTAGATTCAAACCCAAGTTGTTTAAACCCGATGTCAGGTGCAATATGTTATTTTCTAAATGCTGACATATTTGTTTTCATGCCGAAGTTGTGAAACTTTATGCAATTAAGTTTGTTTTCCTTTTTTTTTTTTTTTTTCCGTCTTTCATTGTCATCCTAGAAGAATGTTTTCATGAACCAGAACAACACACAAACTTGTTTTGCCCACAAAGCAAATATGTTATATAACAGCCATTAATATTTGTGTTGATACATAATACTAGAAGAATTCAGTATTCATGCTTTAAACATGCCCTTGAGTCTATATAAAAACTAACAATGACTTAGAACAGGACATGGGGTTTCATTTACATTTTCTTTTCTTTTTTATATAACTTGTACAAACATGGGCTGATAAATTGTATGCTTAACTTGCAGTACTGATATAATGAACATGAGCATGGATTTGTAATACAATAGTTTGCTTAATTCCTAGGTTATTTTTTCTTTAAATATTTATGGACTTGTCTTAACTCTGGACTATTGGGCTTTTGTAATATTGATTGAGGGGTTTGAACACTTATAATAGTGTGAATTAATGAAAAAAACCATGAATGATACACTTAATTACTAACATGAATTATACATTTAATCATTAACAAGTAAATTATGTGACTGAAGAATGATGTCACATTCCACACTCAAAAAATTCCTCCACATCTATGAGACAAAATATTTTGAATTATGTACTTGTATTTTTAAATTCAAAGTGACAGGTTTTTACACTTTTAAGTGAAGAAGTCATTCAATTAGATATTGCAACAATTATTTCTGTAGGCCTTGATATCATTGTTAACATTAAAGTATGTCAAGGAAATTCTGTTTTAAAAACACTGTACAATTGTTGTTTTTAGACAATAAGTATTTCATCACTGAAATATCATTTTTTAAATTCAGTTTTATGTTATATTTTTAATAATTATCATTAATGTTGCAAATAGGAATTTATCAAAAAGTTGTGCTACAAATTATAATAGATGAAATAAGAAAAGGGTAAGATATGTGACATTGTAGTATAAAATTTACATGTGTTTGGACACTGTTTATGTCCCAGATTATACTGTTTTGACACTAAGGTCTGCTATTGAACCTACTCCGTTATAAAAAGTTTTAAAAACCATACTTCTGTTGTTTGTTGCTGTTTGATTAGTGAAACTGAATATTGTCGTAGAAATTATTGTGAAATTGTGACAAAGGAAATCAATTTGCAGGCAAAACTTTAATGTTTAATTCAAACTAATATCCAAGATCCTTACTAAACACTATTAGATGTGATGGAATTTTAGAAACACAACAAGAAAGTGCAAGCAAAATCTATCAGTCACTTTTCAAATGAAGTGTTTTCATATAATGGTAAATATTTTCTATGCTGATCCTTACTAAACACTTTTAGATGTGATGGAATTATAGAAACACAACAAGAAAGTTCAAGCAAGATCTATCAGTCACTTTTCAAATGAAGAGTTTTCTTTTCTATGCTGACCTTTTCACACTGAATAACAGTTTGGATCCATACAAAATACCGCTACAACTTGGAAATGCCCCTGTTGCCAGGAGTAGACTTCATTCTGGTAAATTTTGGTGCCTTCTATTTTAAATAACTTAAATGCATATTGTAAAAGTATCTTTTTTTCTGTACTGCAAAATACATTTTCCATTTAACTAAACTTAAATGAACAATTATTATTATTATAACATTTTTAACGGTCCGTCAACACATAAAAGGTCATTAAGGCCATCAACTGGTAAAACACAGTGTGGAAATAACATTAAACAAACCAAAAGGTAAAAGACAAATGCTAAAAATCTTAAATGGGTATATTAACACAAAAGATTAAAATGGTATGTCATAGTCTATTATATAGACCAACATCTTTCAGGTAATGTAGAATTTTACAAATTTCAAGTTTCAAAAAGGGTTTTATGACGTAATTTTATGATAAAAATATTCTGGAGTAGACAGGTCAATGCAGTCCAATAAAAATGTTTGACAGTGAATGACTCATCACATCCCATGTACCGAGGATTGTCTTCACCTTTCAACATATATGAATGTGTAAGGTATGTATGACCCATCTGAAGACGGGCAAGGACAACTTCGTCTCAGTGGTTGTATCTATATCCTGGAAACCATTCACCGACAACAGGTTTCACAAAGTGCAATTTGTTATTGGTATATGTATTCCATTCCTCCTGCCACTGAGCTTTTAAAATTTAATAAATGGTTTAAAATCGGTAAAATGAAGTTTTAAAAAAAACAGGTGGTAGCGATAAAGCTGCCTTCGCGGCACGATCTGCTATTTCATTGCCTGGTATTCCCATGTGACCAGGAACCCAGCAAAAAGCAATACCAAAGTTAAAGGCAAGTTCAGGATATAGTAAGGAAGAGAGTCTGAATGGATAATAGCACTAATTACTTTGTTTCTTTGAATGTATTCAAGGGCGAGGTAGATAGGTCGCCCTTCCGCCGAGAATATTGAGGCGTTGTTACATAGCCAGCATCCATAGGTTTCATCTTGTGTAACCATGGCTGCAGCAACCTTATTATCAATGAGTTTAATTTTCCAGCAAATGGTGTGAAAATAAATTTCAAAGATTTTGTTATAAAATTGAAGAAAATTACAACAGAACTTTTTATTAGCATTTAAACTTTTATTTCTTAGTCCTTGGTTTCTGCTGTTGAGTAAAAGACGATTACCTCCCTTATACAACGATCTTTCTCTCTACAATTCACATCCAGCACTCAATTCATACACACAATGTACCTATACAAATAAGGCTGGTAAATATTGCCAGTAAAAAATGAATTCAATATACAAATAATATTTGTAATAAACATTTCTTTCCTGGAAATATGTTACTGGTATATTTACAAAAGATTTTCTGTCGTTAACCCAAGTGACAGATGTTTACAGAGTACACAAAGTAAACAGATCTCTTACTCCATCAATCCCTGTATGACTGAAATGTCAATATCATAAATTCTATCAATATGAATGATAACCCAATGACAGGACAATGACAAGCTTCAGAGAGCAGACTTCTTATCTATAAATAGTAACATTTATCACCTCAAATCCATTTCCAGTCTACTTTACAAGTTGCACATCGTACTTTTGTGACACATACATAAAATTTACTAACAAAATTCAAACTTCAAGAGAAAGAAAGAAAGAAGAGAAAAACAAAAGTACTGAATTTTGTAAATCAGGAAACAAGCTTATTTAAAAATATTTTTAAAAAATTTAAAAAGTAATACAATACACAATTTTTTTAACTGGAAGCCTAAACACAAAGCTAGCATTCCACTGAAAACTTTACATTTTAGAACATCAAATGAATAGTCCAAATGATAAATCCTATAAAGATGTCATTTGAAAAAGGACAATTTTCTGTATCAAATTGTTTCCCCAGTGCTTTCGGAGATACCTATCGTCACACATGGATGTGCAAATCCTGTAATATAAAGACTAGCATATACAATATCAAACATTTCATATAGATGTATAACTCTGAAACATACCTCCTGTAACAGACACATGAACCCTAACTTTCTTCACAATCTGAGAAAACAGACATCTGTACACCACCTACAGACAACAGAACCCAAATTTTTCACAATCCAAGAAAACAGACATCTGTAATAAATAAAACACAATAACAAAACATTGATATGCAGGGTTTCAAGTTGTCTAAGCACATGGACAGGAGTGCCAGAAGTCATTTTAGTACCAAGTGATTTGATACACTACACAGGACAACAACAAATGATCATGTCAATGATACAGAATTCATTTTTTACCTCAACATATGAACATGATGTGTAGAAAACTTTCACGTCATGACAATGTATTTGTCTACATGTGGAAATATTCACAAAGCATTCATAATTACAATACAATATTAACAGAAGTAAAATCTTCTAGAAAGTAAAGAAATCATTTCAGTCTCGTTATAAGTGGTTTTACTGCATAGTAAATAGCTTAATTTATTCTGACAAATTCCATTCAGCATTATTTTATTTCTGATAATCATTATTGTTTTCTCATTATCTATTTCAAGCTTCAAAATAATGAGGTTAAGTTCATTTTTGTTGCCGCAATTTTGACAATTCATAAATAACCAGTTTACAAAATAGTGTGAGACACGAAGCAGTGACAGGAAATTCTATTATGTCAATCCATTTTTCTGAAACACTCAAGTCAAGACAGGAAAATATCACTATTTAGGCTTAAAAAAGCAATTTTTGAGTCTTCATATTCAACCAATTCATTTGACTTTGACCACATAGAGGTCACAATTAGTTATGTATAACCAGTGTCTGGTTTGTTTTTATTTACATTTTATCAAACATTTATCTCACATTTGTTTTATTGCACATAACATGTAATATATGCTCCTTCATGTAACAGATGCAAAAAATATTAGGAAGAATCAATATATAACAAAGTTTGTATTAAACTAAGAGTTTTGACCATGTCTGAAACTTAATCAATATCGTAGCACAGATATCTGTCCGTTTCTATTTTTGAGTTGAATTTGTCTCTCTTTCTGTTCTGAAATACCCCAAACAGGAGATAAACCATACACGATGTAAAAATAAAACACACTAAATGATTCCAAATGTACCAATAAGCATGTGGCTGTGCCCTCCTTGGTTTATAGATTTGTACTTGAAGGCAAATTGTGCGCTGTAATTTTTTTTTTCTAATTGTCAAAAAGCACAGAAACAATATATATAATATCAGGGCGGAATTTGAGACCCAAACCTGGAGATTCTCCACTTAAATCAGAGTGGTTGGTATCTCTGTAAAGTGACCATGTACGTCAGTATCAAATCTGAGACCTGTATCTCTGATCAAAAATAACAGCAACAAAACCTGTGTGTATAATCTTTGTGATTATTATTGTTAGATCCACTATAGACATTATATACATACATAGTATTATCTTACATCATACAACACATGTTGACCCTTAACACACACATACATGTACTGGACCATTTACACATACATACCTCAGACCTTCACATCCATTCATACATCAGACCGACATTTTTAAATCTGTACACACATGCATCAGACATTTTTAATTCTTGACACACATGTAAGACCTATATGTTTTTGGCCCTTGAAACACACTCATGCATCACACCATGTGTTTGGTATTTCAAACATATGTACATCAGACCTACATGTGTTTGGCCCTTTGACACACACATGTCGAGACCTACACATGTGTTTGGTCATTCACCTTATATTCATCAAACCTACACAGCCTGGTTTACAAGACACTTTACAAGGCAGATAGCTTGGAAGTTACTCTCCACAACAGAGGTCTACCAAAACATGAAAATGTCCTTATAAGTTTCAAAATGGGTGGATGGATTTGTGAAACTGAAGATGTCGGACACATATATTTACTCCTCCACGCCATAAAACCACTGAATACAGATAAATAAATAAAATATAGTTTGTGTTATTTCCTGAATATGTATCCAGAGGAACATCTACAGCTGTCTGAGTGTATCTTAGTATATTTAATTCTAATGAAAATCAAGATATTGGTCCCATTTTATTCCATTCAACCTTGTCAAATTATCACTCAAATATCTAAAGCATACACCACAAATGAGTTGTGGTGTCAACTTCACACAGACTAGCATCTAAAAGAAAACCCAATCTTAACAGGGCAAGTTCAACAGTCAGCACCATCAAATCCATACAGGGCAAAGTCTAGGAGTGAGCAGTACATCTAGATCACGAGTGAGCTGTTGTTAGGTCACAAGTGAGCTTAATATCAAAGTCACGAGTGAGCTGTATCTACATTACAGATGAGTTGAACATGAAGGTCACATCAAGGTAACAGGTGAGGTGTTTTCTGACCATTCACCAAGATTGTTGATAAGCACCAGGTTCTTAGAAAATCAATGGTCAGTTACCATGAGAAAAATTAACTAATCACAGGAATCTTCCACACCGTTTCTCTCCACCGTTATATCTCTCAGTATTGTCTAAGTTGTGACCAACTTTCATGCTGAATGGATGAAATTACTACTATAAAGTGTCTTGTACTGCCCAATGACCATTATAATCAGACTTCTGTAGTCACTGGTCAGTATAATGGTCGGTGTAATCTGACCCATAAGACACACTCTGCTATGAGCTCTGTATAACTTTGATGAAGTTTTTATAATTTTCCACTGACTGTTGGTTGTGGCGATTAGTTTCCATCAATTCCTCATGTTTCTGTCGTTGTTGCTGGAAGAACAAAAACAACACTATATCATAAATAATCATTACCACTGGGATAAATGTTAGGACGGTACAGGAAAAAAACCAGCACATGTTAGACAAGAAGAGGTCAATAAGAAGAGACACTTTAAAAGAACTTCAATTCAAGAGGCATAAAGGGTTTTAGGTATGAATGGTAAACTTGTAAAACCCTGGATCATATTTTACAACAGGTTTCTTTTTTCTCTCCACCCTTATCAGAATTTCAAAACTTATTTTCTTAAATAATGACACAAGAAGTTACCCAATAACAGTTATATTTCCCTGCTGAAAAATGATATCCCTCCTCTCAGTCTCAGAATGTTTCGTCACCCCTCTTGAACACAATTAAGTATCCAAAAACAAAAATGAATCCTTCCCAATGACCCAAAAATTTGTTATAATATATTGAATAACTTTCTTTATGGATGGTGTGAACATAATTTCAAATAAGTTTGAATATTTATCAAGGATTCTTTCTGATTTTCAAAATCCACCAAATTTCCATGTTTTCCACTCAAAAAATGGATTACAGTAAGTAAAATCTTTCACATTTTTTCTGGATTTGAGTTGAATTCACTCCAAGATCTAATTATAAACTAAATTAACTTGGTTGCTCTAGTTCTTGTACTGCCAGAGAAACATCTTTAAATAAAAATTTTACAATTGGTTAAGGACAGATACCAATGAAGGTTTTACTTTCATGTCTTCATCACAGCGAAACAATACCATAAAACTTTGGATGCACCCTATATCCATTCTGACCCATTCGTTACTTACAATTAATGCCTCTCCAAGCTGTTTTTTTTTGGATTCCAACAAGACCACTTCATTATTTAGCTCCAAACTCTTCTTATGTAATTTTTTCCTCTCTTCTTCCTTAGCTGTAATGTTAATCAGAAGTTTAAAGATTTGTGTAATTAATGCTCTGCAGGATTAGCTAAGCACTGATTACCTGATCATATGCCACAAAACGTTTTTCCGAATTTTTTCACAATATCAATGCAGACATTTTCCTCATTCAAATATATTAATTTACTCTCAATATTCTGAAAACCAGCCCTGTTATAAAGTTTCATTCCAACAAGTTATGAGACACAAATAATACCTGATAATCACTATATAACTTTTCCCATTATCCCTCTTTCCAATATCTGTAAATGGCACTTAGATCAAAAACCATTTTGATGTGATTTCCTAAGGGAGACAACCCAACTGTAACACCATGGAAACTTACACAAAGGGAAGTAATTCCAGAGTGTTAAGAGTACTGAACTGGAGACTGACAGGTGACTTACCAGCTTTGTTTGCAATAAAGGAATGTACCATGGCTAAAGTTTCTGACGTCCAGGCATTTGACCGTCCTGAAGCCTACAACATGTATTCAGGAATTCAGGGATTGAGACTTTCATAGTAACTCATCATATACAGATAATCAAGGAAAATCAAACATCTAAAATTTGTCAAGAATATATGTGACTTAGGAACTGCCTGTACATATGAGCCACTTATACTTTACCAATGAGAGGTTGGGAAGCACGACAGTTATTTATTACATCAACTCTTTCACTTCTTTCTTTCAGTGTATATGGTTTTAGAGGTAGGCAAAAATGAAGTTGAACCATCCTACTAATGTTTTGATGCTTGTTTATATCATGGAAATTCCTAGTCTGTAGTATGCACATTAATGTAATTGTTACTTTAAGTAGGCACCATTGTATCAAATATAGTTATTACAATTTACTCTGAAATTGGATTTGTGGAATATTTCTAGTATGTAAATCCATGGAATAAGTCCATTATTTGGACAAATATTAAGAGTTTATACAATAGAATCATTTACCTTGAATAGCATGGGTCTCATTTGCAAATTTAAATCATACAGAGGTGTTCACAGCTTAAACAATCCAGTTGATATGTCAAAATTTATCAAGCATTTATATAGACCTCTCTGAGATAACATTCTAAATTTCTACTCCACTCCTTCTTTGGCAGAGTCAACTATGTTCTACAGAAAACTAATCACCAATCACTACTAATTTGACCATTCTGACAGCTAGGTTCACAAATGACTGACAGTCAAAACTTTAATATAACAGGACATATTATTAAATGACCAATGATCAAAACCTTCTTCACCCTTTCGACAATTGCATAATTACATGATAGATAATCAAAGCCTACCTGACATTTAGGACAGCTCCAGCGTCCATCAGGGACACAGGGGAGAGGTGGGTCAAGGCACTGGAGATGATACACCTTACTACAGGTGTCACATAACAAAAGTTGGCCAGACTGACCACACACCGCACACAGATCCTCATGTACGTCCTGAAATTCATCACAGGGAACTATTTACTAAACGCAACAAGAATTGTCCTGACTGACCAGACCTCAACAAAGTTCTCACAAACATCTGGAATTTCTTAATATAAAAACAGCCCAGAAAGCAAAGCTATTGAATAAAAACACTCTTGATAAACAAGTGTTTTGATTTGATCATGGTGAAATTCCAAATAACCATGCATTTAGATTATCAAAGGATTTGGCAACACACTTGACCATTACCAGCTATCATAAAGTGATACAATAGCACTTCAATGACATACTGACCTCAAACCCGTTTTTGAACATGCCGTTTCTGAAGCCACCTCCACTGTCGTTACTGTCTGGTGTTCCAGGATGGCTGTTGCTTGGTGACCTAGCATGCTTTGGTGGTCTGCCTGAGAACCAAACAACATAACTTTTTGTTATATACCTGATAGTTGGTGGTATTGCTTAACAGGAACATCATTCACAATCAAGGAAGAGCAAAAACTACACAGATTTACATACGACTAACAACATCAACAATTTGTTGGCTTAGTTTATTTATCAGTAAAGTTCCTATGCAAAATATATCCACTGGAATTGGTGTTTATCAAAAGCTATCATTACAGTTTTAGGGCCAAAATAGTGCACATTTCCCCTAATAGGCTGTGTTCCTTAATAATGTACACAAGGGATAAAATATGTTTATACACTTAGCCACCTAATCCTATATTTCTAGAGTACTATACACTGTTCCATTTTGTATACATAATTCAGAATCACACGACATCACGGAACTAGACAAAGTTTTATTATTTGTCATGAAAATTCAAAAATCATACTGTAAAATAGATTTCAACTGAAATTTAAGGTGTTGAAAGCTGGTAGAATGTGCTTACCTCGTGGTCGTTTCATTCCTGGTAAGTTATTTAATACCAGTGATGTTGGTCTTCTTCGCTGTAATAAGATTAACCAGAATTTTGTTAAATTATTGACAGGCTTGGGATAAAGACCAGATCTATACTTATTTTCAGATCTGTATGATTCTAGTTCATTATTTGTGAAACGCTCCTCTACACATGAAGAGAAATCACATCAGAAAAATATTTTACAAGCACCTGCAAAATAAGCATAATTAAGTTTGGTCAAATCAACGACCCAGTCAAGATCACTTACATGTATTTCCGGTTCAAAATTGTACATTGGGTTGGCTGTGGTTCTTCTTTTCCGTTCGTGTTTTCTGCTCTGCATTTCTGTTAATATTAACAAGGATTAATGATGTCTGTTGGTATAAGATTACAGAAATTATATCATACAGTGGAGATATACAAGTCAGAATGATATCTCTCCAACAGTTGTCTTTCCATTAATATCTTTATTATCAATAATTTATTCTGATCAGGCAATGGATTATAAGAATTTAAAGTCTTTACCCCCACAAACTATGATAAAAATCCAAAGTTTTAGAATGCTAAACTGAACAAAATATATTTTCTGGCTTACCATAACTTTACAATTTTTAAATGCTTGTTTAAATTATCCAGAAGATAGATTAACTACTAAGAATGTTTAAGAATGAAGAGTTATCTCCCTTCTAATTGTTTCTTCATCAAATATTAAAAGATCTTGAAGACTTTTTCTGAGAAAAAGGTGAAATCTGTGGATGTTATAACTAAAATCAGTAGAAAACATTTACTAATGATAATGATCTTTACAAATAGACTAACCTTTTAATGTCTCCTGAGTCACCAGTTCTAAAACAGCCATGTAAGCTAGTTTCTGGAAATTAAAGACATGATACATATTAATACTACATTGGAGTATTAATAAGATTTATTTGGTTACTTTCCTTAATGACAACAAAGGCCTTTATATGTCAGTCACCTTTGTTTATAGCTGAAGGAGTTGAAATGTGGGATGACATGGTGATTTAAGACAATTTTTGTTTTTTGAAAAGTCATGCTAAGGTCAATAAAATATATTGTGGTAGGTAAGAAGTCAGGATGTTTTTTTATTCACTTTATTGAAATAAACATTTCAGTATTACAGAAATGACTCAGTAAAGCAACATCAGGCATATGGCATGATTTTTATACCCAAGCCTCAATAAGGTCAAATAACATTAGTCTAAAACTTTAAGATTATCAGAAAAGAACTGTCCGATATAACAAAAGAGTTTATACATTATACCAATTGAAATTGAGAGACTAACAAAAATGACAAAGAAAAGATACAACAAGAATAAACAGCTATCAATATCCCCTAATTTCCATCCAGAAAACTGCAGTACTGATCTATAAATTTAATGGATATGATGTTGAGGCTTCGTAGAACAAACCCACCTCTATCTCTCAATTTACATGTCATAAACATGATTGTACCTCTTTTTCCTCCGGTGAAATCTGTTTCTTCTCTACTGTTTTTCGAATGTCACGTAGGTCAGAGTCTGAAGGCCGTCGAGAAAGTGATGAGGAAAAGGACAAGCCCTTATTGCTCACAGGTTTACCCTACAATCATAGAAAGCACCAATATATCATACATACATAACACACCAGTCATGTCACATCAGTAGCTGCGAAAAAAACCCAGCCATATTGAACCTGGGGAAGAACAGTCAGTGTAGAGGATGCCGAGAATATCTGACAGGATTTATACCTGGGGGTCAGTGTAGGATACAGAGGTTGTCCGAGAATAAATTCTCCAGGTATAAATTTTCAGACAATTCTTACCCCTGACAGTCAGTGTCGAGGATACTGAGGTTTTCCAGTAATTGATACCTGGGGAAGAATTGACAGTCAGTGTCGAGGATACTGAGGTTGTCCAGTAATTTATACCTGGGGAAGAATTGACAGTCAGTGTCGAGGATACTGAGGTTGTCCAGTAATTTATACCTGGGGAAGAATTGACAGTCAGTGTCGAGGATACTGAGGTTTTCCAAGAATTTATACCTGGGGAAGAATTGACAGTCAGTGTCAAGGATACTGAGGTTTTCCAAGAATTTATACCTGGGGAAGAATTGACAGTCAGTGTCGAGGATACTGAGGTTTTCCAAGAATTTATACCTGGGGAAGAATTGACAGTCAGTGTCGAGGATACTGAGGTTTTCCAAGAATTTATACCTGGGGAAGAATTGACAGTCAGTGTCAAGGATACTGAGGTTTTCCACAAATTTAAACCTGCGAAAGAACTGACAGTCAGTATAAAGGCTACTGTGGTTGTCAAGAATTATTCCTGGGGAAGATTTGATTGTCAGTGTAAAGGATATGGTGGGTTGTCTGAGATTTTATACCTAGGGAAGAATTGACGGTCAGTGTAGAGAATATACTGGTTTTCTGATAATGTATACCTGGGGAATGATTGACGGTCGGTGTAGAGGATACTGTGGTACTCTGATTGGTGGAGAAGTTGACCTAGGAGACGGTGAGTTCTGATTGGTAGATTGGTTGGGTGTGGTATTGTCTCCCTCGAGTTTGACCGGACATGAATCTTCTCGCTTCACTGGACACACTTCCTCCTTTTTCACCAGGTTTGTTGGTATGCTGACTGGGGTAACAACTGCACTGACCTGTACAGTTGGTGGCTTTGGCTGTCAAAAACACAATCTTCAGTTGTTAACTAATTTTACACATTATGATACCAGTATATTAAGTTAAATGAATAACAATTAAATGTTTGTTATTTAACCTGCAATGTCTTAAATGTATGCTTGATATTTATGTCATGAACACACACATGACAGACATCAGGTTTAAATAACAGGGGCAAGTGTGAACTGAAAACACATAACCAATCGTCAGGTTTAGAGACTGGGCTAATGTGAATTGTGATTGGTCGGAGGACAAATTATCTGTATTGGTTGTAGTCGCGTAGACACACATGTCCAAACATCAGGGTAAGACACCGGGCTGTTGTGAATCGTGACTGGTCGGAGGACAGATCACTTGTATTGGCTGTAATCGCGTAGACACACATGACCAAACATCAGGTCAAGACACAGGGCTGTTGTGAATTGTGATTGGTCAGAGGACAGATCACTTGTATTGGCTGTAATTGCGTAGACACACATGACCACACATCAGGTTTAGAGACAGGGCTGTTGTGAATCGTGATTGGTCGGAGGACAATATCTGTATTGGCTGTAGTCGCGTTGACACACATGACCAAACATCATGTTAAGACACTGGGCTGATGTGAATGGCGATTGGTCGGAATATAGATTACCTTATTGGCTGTAGTTGCATAGACACATATGACCAAAAATCAGTTTTATACAGAACTGTTGTAAATTGTAGTTGGTCAGAGTTGATTACCTGTATTGGTTGCAGTCGTGTAGACACACATGACTGAACATCAGCCTCAGACTTAGAGACAGGAGGTGCTATTGGTGTGGACTGCTGCCTGGTGACAAGTTCCTTTCTTAGATTCTGAACAATGACTTTCTGTGGACAAAACATTAAATAACATTAAAAAAAAACTCTGCTGCTGTAATTTAGCAATAGTAACTGACACCCATCTGTCAAAAAAACAGCCAACTAAAACTTAATTTGTATACACAACATTGGGAGGCCACAGTGATACACCAAAGTCAATGTGTTTTTTTTTTTTTTGTTTTGTTTTTTTTGCATATATCAGACTTAAGTTGACAATTCTTAATTCTGTATTCCACATCCTTGGATAGCATTCCATCACCAGCCTCTGACAGGTTTGGTGTAAGTGTTAGAAACAATGAGTATACAACAGGTCCTAATATATAGGGCAGCTCAACAACAAAATATTTTATAATAAATAGTAGAAATCAGTATGCAGAAAAACACCAATGACAACATGAACAGTTGCACATACAACTGTGGCCATATTGATAACTGATAACCCAGTGAAGACACAGACTCTTATCGTATTTCTAATAAATTACAGATTTACAATAAAAACTCAGTAAGGTGCCTGCTTTCCAGAATGATGCTGGGATGTATTGAGATTCTCGACTAATTCCTCTGGCTGATTCAATACAGCATACAAACACACTGGTTTGTCTATTTTTAGATTTATTGATTTTTAATGGAACAGCACCATTCTAAACCCGAGTTGCCATGTAAGTATGGGTCATTCTATAGCCATGTATCATCAAGAAGACATCCCATTACAAATTATAACTTCTATTACATCCAATTATTCCTCCGCCACAAAATCTCCAACTTTCCTTTGTTTATTGTCTTTAAGAAATGAAGCACATATACAGAGCAATGACTGATTTTTCCATCTTTCTTTTTCCAATAAAAAAAGTGTCACAAAAATAACATTACAATATTAGTATTTCACAGCTCCCCTGAATAAGATTCAGGAATCTCATCTCTTGTTTTTTTTAATACTTATTCCAAGGAATCTTTTTAAAGATTCACCAAATTACTGCTCTTTTCCATGAATTTTTATCTGACTCAATGCATGCCATGAAGAAGAATGTGGGTAGAGTGTCTCGCCCAAGGACACAACAATAACAACACAGACCACTCTGTTTCGCAGTTTTCTGAAAAACAACAGAGAGACCAAAAACTGTCATGGCTAGAGATCCCTGTGGAGTGTTAAACTGTACACTTTGAATCTCACTTGAGGTTGTATAGTCCAATCCTTTACTGACTAAGCTATTGAAGTCCACTTTAATGATCATTAAACATTACAATTCATATGTATCACAACATCCGTATAGACGTAATTATCACCTTATGTAACTTTCTTTCATTAAATTTTAATCCAATTTGTTACACATCATATTTATCATGCTGTAAGCCCAGGGGACCAACAGTTACACATTACCTTGAAGCTCTTACTTAAAGTTTGGGGTGGGCTTATCACAGGGCATTGAAATAGTACTTGATGATTTTTTTTTTTTTTATCATAAGGCTAACAAGCCACCACAAGCTTTACAATTTAATAATATATAAACTTTCTAAGAGCAGTATCAGTGACCATGACCAAACAACCCTGAAACTCATCGTTGTCCAAGATGTTCTGATCCTTATTAAGTGTGTGAAGTTTGATGAGAATTCCTTATGGAATGAATCTACCAGAATGCTGACAATCTTTCACAGCCTCACAGGGGACGGACTGAGAGGAAAATTACTGCCCCCCACCCCACCCCTCCCCCGCTCACGAGTAGAGAAACTAACGAATATTTGGAGTGGACAGACTAATTACAGTGCCCCAAGCACTTGATTTACATAATCACTAGTCAATTAAATGATATACTGAAATCTTTACAGTCTGATAACTTATATTCATTTTTTTTTAAGCAACATCTGCAGAAATGAACTGAACATAGCTTTTTTTTTTACTATTTCTATCAATTCAAACAACCACAAGACATATTCTTCAACTTCTGAATAACATTAACTGAAAGCCAGCTGGTTACTTTTAATCCATTATATATAACTTCCTCACTCAGTTTCCTTCTTAAAGAGTAAGCAGTGTAAAAATGACAAATGTCAATGTTCATGGTCTATTTCTGTACAATTCCAGGTATGATGATGATTGCCTTTGTTTAACATATAGGAGATGAATTGTCATTTTAAACCGAAGTTTTCCCTGAATAATTGATAGATCAAAATGGTGTTGATATCTGAAATGCTAATATGTATATAAATACACAGAAACTCTGGCCTTTGGTATAACCTGTATTCTCCAGTAGCTAGGAAAGAATAATTAACAAAGCACACCACGTTAGCCCTGGCAGTCTGACCAGTGACGACCCATCTGTCATCACAAACCCAGGGATAATATATATCACAGGTAGTTGGAGCCGTCACATCCAGTGATTTTCAATAATGGCACTCGCTGATCATAACAAAAGCAGGTATTGGATCTGTTTGTGTTCACCTCGTCATCATCAGCTGACCTTTTGTAACTGAACAGGTGTTTGGTGTGACATACTGTTAGTATACACACAAAGGAGTGCCCGATAAAATTTCCACTCCATACAAATTCACAACTTTAATTTTACAGTGGAAAACACAACTTTATTTCACAGTAAAAATAAGGCAAAAGTTACGGCCCTTCCCAACATGTACTGATCAGAAAGATCTCTAGCCTTCTATAAAAATTGTTGTTCCACATTTTAACACCCTTAACTACACAAGATCATTACAAATAAGTTGGACAGAATTGTCTCTGGTATCTACATGAAATAAAGTGATTAATTCAATCATCAAAATATCAATTTCTCTTGTATATTATATATACATGCATACTTATGTATGCGATTAAATTTTGATACAAGTAGTATCAAGCAAATCACTCTCTTACAAAGACCAGATAATTAAACAAAATCATTGATTTTACATTATGTTTAAATATATAAAAGCAAGAAAAGAGGATTCATGAATTCATTATGTAATATTCTATAAGGCAGAATATTGGTTCCAACTCCAGTAGTCTACAAGAAAGACATTTTTTTCGTTAAAGTTTTAGCTTATTTAGGAATTGAAATCTAATGGAACAAAACCAAATCATAAATTTAATATTTATTTATAGGATTTAGATATTAAAGAAAACAAAATCCGCAAGTAATTGACAGAAGTGACATATTGTAATATAGTCTGACCAGAATAACCTATTGTATGACCTACACTGTCAACCTCTGACTGAAATATTGATGAGAAACGGGTTGAGTTTCAGACAAGGGCTGAAGTAAAAGTAGAGTTTAAGCAATATTTTAAAAAGGTACACCTCCAATAATACTATAAAATTACCTATAGTGCAGTATTAAATCTTACATATGTGTTTTACTTTGTGTGTTGATTTTCCCTCTAGAAAATTCCTCATCATCATCATCATCATCATCTCCTCTGGCACCTTCCACCTAACTGGAATGTGTGACTGTCACTGTCATCCTGTAGATTTACCAATTTCCTTATCAATAGATTCCCTTCCTTCACTAAACAGCTATTTTCCAGTTTTGGTTTTTGTGTGCGACAGCATGTTGCTTGTCTGATGCTGTATGTTATCCCATTTTATAAATCCATGTCAAGTTTCATTATCAGTACACCATTGAATCTGTACGTGAAATATATTACTGCTGTCTATTTCTTATTTCAAATCAAATATATTTTGGTTCAAGCACAGAAACATGTTATGATAAGAATATATGCAGTATCTGGATGGGTTTCTTGACCATTTCACATTGATTTTGTAAGGCAAGAACCAGTCGTCTACTACATACATACATACATTTTTCAGGAGTTACACAATCTAATAGCTTTTACATGCATACACTAATGCATGTATTTTTAGTTGCAGTTTACAGGAAACCTGTGTACCATAACATTGCATATCATACTGTTTTTTTCCATATGATTACTGCATTATAAATTTTGGTCACAGGCTATCGTATATATAAATATCTCAATAGTGAACCTAGTACTCTACTTATTTATCTGTAATTTAAGCCAGATGTAGTTGAACAATTTGTTCACAAAATATACCTGTGATGCTCATAAGAAATTATCATCAATAATTATACATGTATATTGTGTACATATTAAAATGAATTCCTTGCAGAACTTGGGTTCTACTAGCTTCAAAACAATTTCTGTTGCAATGTCTTGTTTTGATACAAGTTTATATCAAGGAAAAGTGAAAATAACAAGATCTTCAAGAGGGCACTCAACTGATGACTGCCATCTTAAGTGTGGACTATCACATCTCTATATTGTAAGTCACGCTAAGGACCATTTCCGGACTACCACAACTCAATATTAAGTCACACTTAGGACCATTTGTAGACTACCATGACTCAATATTGTAAGTCACACTTAGGACCATTTGTGAACTATTATGACTCAATATTGTAAGTCACACTTAGGACCATTTGTGAACAACCATGACTCAATATTGTAAGTCACACTTAGGACCATTTGTGAACAACCATGACTCAATATTGTAAGTCACACTTAGGACCATTTGTGAACAACCATGACTCAATATTGTAAGTCACACTTAGGACCATTTGTGAACAACCATGACTCAATATTGTAAGTCACACTTAGGACCATTTGTGAACAACCATGACTCAATATTGTAAGTCTCACTTAGGACCGTTTGTGAACAACCATGACTCAATATTGTAAGTCTCACTTAGGACCGTTTGTGAACAACCATGACTCAATATTGTAAGTCACACTTAGGACCGTTTGTGAACAACCATGACTCAATATTGTAAGTCTCACTTAGGACCAGTTGTGAACAACCATGACTCAATATTGTAAGTCTCACTTAGGACTAGTTGTGAACAACCATGACTCAATATTGTAAGTCTCACTTAGGACCATTTGTGAACAACCATGACTCAATATTGTAAGTCTCACTTAGGACCATTTGTGAACAACCATGACTCAATATTGTAAGTCTCACTTAGGACCATTTGTGGACTACCACATCTCAATATTATAAGTCACACTTAGGACCATTTGTGGACTACCACGACTCAATATTGAAGTCAAAATTAAGACCATTTGTGGACTATCATGACTCAATGTTTTAAATCACATTAGGACCATTTGTGGACTATCATGACTCAATATTTTGAGCCCTGTCTGAAAATGACTTTTCCCTCCATATGGAGAAGTATAGATAATATGACTTTTAAGATGATGACTATCCTGAATGAGGCACTGGTCAGAATTTTACCTCTGACCATCTTTGAACATTCAGTTCCCATTAGTATATAATATAATTTGATATTAACTTATGGCTGATGATGGGCACCAATATTTCCTTTTAAATCTGTTATATCTGCAACATATAATTTATTCTTCTATAAAGCTTTCACAGCTGTAAAATCCAAGCAGATTACCATTATTCTACATGATGGACAATATGGTAAGTTTTTGTGAATTGATACAATTTTCCCCCAAAAGGTCAATATATGCCTTGTAATTAATGTCAATTAATATCTAGCATTAGTTTAACAAATTTGTTCATATTTACTTCCTCTGTACTGGTGCTTTTATTGACTTAACATTTCTAATCCTGATGACACCAGCATAAAGAGCTATTTTTGTTGTTTTTTTTTGTCATATGGTGGTGTTCCCATCATGTTCTTATTTGTCCAGACCACTTCAGCCTTTCATGTGCAAAAATTTCATCTTAATTAAGGATTCAATATGCCAAGAACATTTAAATAAAGTGAAATTTTATCCACCTCCTGGGGTCACTCTGTTGTTTCAGTCTTTTTCATTATGTGTCTGGTTCATTTGAGGTCAGGGTCACAATAGTTCAGTCTATACAGTGTTGGCTTGTATATATGTAACCCAAGATAAAGATCTGATGTACAGTGCTGGACTTTCTAATTACCCATTTACATCTCTGTCATTAACAAATTTGTTTTTTTTATTTGCCAAAATCATTTTCCCCCGATTTGCAATGTATGTAAAAACCGTTTTCGCTCTCAAAACAACCATGCAAGTTTAAGTACTTGGCAGTTTCAATCAACTACTTGAAATGAACCATTTCCGTAATGTCACCAGTCCAACCCAAAAAACTTATTGGTTATGTTTTCCTTAAATAGCAAGCTTACATAAGGGATCATTTATAGATTAGCAGGTCCAAGCAGTCCATAAATTCAGGTTGCCATAGTTGTTTAGTCGTAAGCAAGGACTCAATCATGTATGTAATTAAAATTGTATGACACAGAGTAATTTTTCAAACACCAAAATGAAACCTACTTATCTGTAGTTTCCTACTGATAGCTTGTCACCTAATGGAATGGGTTTACCTTTCTGTTTTTCAATATCAAGGATACCATAACATTATGATGTTACATTAGATTTCAAAGCATTTTATTTATGCCATCACAAATGCACATATCCATGGCTAATCCGAAACTGAAATATCAGTAACAGTAATTTTCCCATGTGTGTCTTAATATTTTCAGAAATTGCATTCATCTTATATCAGAAACTGCACCTTTTCAAATGGAATGTGCGAAGAAAATACCTTTTTCATCACCATCATCATCTTAGAAAATGTAAAAATATAACTGTAGACTTGTCTTGCAATATCAGTTTCTTGCACTATGTATACCTTCTTGATGAAATTGCCTATAGAGAGCTTAATCATAAATTAGCATTCATTTCTTAAATTCGTCAAATTTAAAAATGTTCAAGTCAAAACACTAGTGTTCACTTTTTCAAACTAATTATAGAAGTCCTACCAGAAGATATAATTAAAGCATGTTCCTGAAATTGGTAAAGAAAATGTATTTCTATACACACACAAGAACATGCTTGAAGAACTTAAAACTACATGCAAGATTTATTGCAACATAAAATTCTTAATTGCTGAAGAAAAATTTCTGTCTTTTGCTTAAAATCATCATTGAAGGCAAGCGTTAGCCTAGAGGTGTGTAATACACTGCACCTTACTCATTACAGTTTGTGTTTCTCAGGAGGCAGAGAAACAAACCAGTTACTGTTGCGTAGTTGCGTCCTTGGACAAGATACCTATCCCTTGTTGGTTAACTTTCATAGGTTATTTGTATTTACTAATCATATGTTGTATTACATCTCAAATGAATTACAAGTATACATTTTTTAGGAGTTTATTCAAAATTCTTTAAGTTCGATATTTATCAATTTACAGCGGTAGTTGTCATCACAGTGAGATGGGTAAGTAGTGTACAGAACTGTGCTTGTCCACTGGTATACAAGAGGTGTAGTGTAATCAACAACAGACATGACTGACACTATGGAATCTTCATCAAAACACTTTTCAGGTTTTTTTTTTCAAGATGTGAAAATTACCAAAAAAAAAAAAAATCATAACATGTTCTATGTTATTTAATGTCTAAATTTTTGAAAACAGTTCAAGATCAAATCAAATAAACGAAAATGGCCAGGAAGTTAACCTTGAGTCATGTAAATATTCTCCAATAGACTATCAAGAATTAATGGAGTTTTCAAAAAATGTACCCAGAAATTTTGGAAACAGAAAATAACTACTGAAGTATTTGGGATTGATCATCATTTTTCACATCCAGCATCAATACTGGGGTTATATTACCTATTAAAACTCTCGAGACAGATAAAACACCTGAACTCTTAGGACTAGAACAAAAAAATTCCAGTGGAGTAAAAGCCACACTGTCCTTTGATTTGTGACATCATTGACTGACAATTGCAGAAACAAAATCTTTAAAACTTTTGGGGCTGATAAGGTCATATCACTAACAGAAACCAATATCTTATAAAAAATATTCCAATCATTTGCAATTCATTTCTGAAAATAAGTTTCCAAATCCCTTAATTTCTATTTTTCTCAAAATAAGATAATATGAAACATTTTAATTGACAAAAAGAGACTTGATGCTGAGACTTTTAGAAACAAGCTCAAATTACTGACATACTTAATTTTGAATGAAACATTTTTTTTAATTACATTTTTAAAAAAATGCTTTAAAAGGGCATAAGAATCCCTACAAGAAAATGTTATTTACAATTTTACATCTAGCTGCAGGAAAGAGATGCAAATGATGCAGACAAAAAGTAAAAAAATAATCAATAACTGGAAGATTTAATAAAACTCACCTGTTTCTCACTCAAAACTGTGATTTCTCTCTGCAAATCATGAAGTTGTTTTCTAAGATCAGCATTCTGCAAGAAAATAATTACAATAAAAGCGACATGGTTTCTCTAGTCGGCTGCCAGGAGTGTAGGTCTAGCAAAGAAAACTTCCACAAGAAAAATCAATATCTACATCGCGTACGGGAAACAATGGTGCCAGTGAAAATGCCTTCAGTCAGTCAGTAAAAGGAACTATGCAGCTTACCTGTGGGTCCGATTTCATCTTCGTCACTAGAAACTGTAATAAAAATGCAACAGATCAGATGTGGATAAAACATCACTTTCAACGTTAAATGGACAAGGGCAATCATCTGACATTACTCTACAAAGACGAGTAATTTTTACAGTGACATCACTCACACAGGGATTCGTGTTGCTGTGTTTTCCTACGGAAGGCCCATTCACTCAAGTGGATCACACCAAAGGTCGGAGAAAAATTAGTAAAAAATAGCGTAAATAATTCTAATCGTAACCAAATTAAGCAAACGTAAACTTAATTATATAAACTTTAAAGAATATAATTAATTTTTCACAGATATTTCTGATTATGTAAAGAACTTTAATTTTGAAGTCCTAAAGTTCCCCGTTTGACACACAACACAGAAAGTTTACAACATTCATCACATAACCAACCTGGTGACTTTGAATTGCAGTCTTCAGTTGCAACTGTATGGCATCTAAATCACACCGTGACATCTTGAAACTCTTTTCTTACTATTCGTCACAAACCGGCAATATTTCTATAATTTCCTAGATCAGGAAAAAATATTAAACGTAGATGTAAACATCGCCTTGATCAACGACACCATTTCAGGCCGAATCACTTTCTTCCGCTCAGCGCGCGGAGGAATACAAAATATGAACGTGCCGTTGGTCGTAGAAAAACTTGGGAAAAACTTTTCCACGTGCAAATTTACTGAAAAAGTATACTAGGACAAATAAAAGCTAATGACTTTCTAAGAAGATTCCATATCTTCCACAAAATGGTATATTTATTTTAAATGAATGATTATAGTGAAAATAAGTTGATGATTAATCGCTATTTTTGGATTAGTATATTTTATACGTGGTTCTAATTTAAATGCATATCCCGTTAATAAAAAAAATACCGCACAAGGCAAATGATTTCAAAGTCAAACTCAAGAAATATAATACGTTATAAGATAAGATAACCTGTTTGTACATATACATCACATGAGATATCCTGTCTGAATTGGCTTACGAGACTGATAATGTAATGTTGCATAGGGTTTCAATATATATATCTATATATAGATGCACATCATGAATTCTTTTAAATGGAAAGTAAAACTGCCCTTTGAAACTGCTGAGATAACCTAGACACGATTACAATAACAAATTAAAAATAACTCAAATCCAATAGAAATAATAATATAAATATGACTGTTGCTGAAGGAAATATACTCATGCAGACTCCTCAAAATTTTAAAAGGATAATATGACATACATGTGTTCCAGAAGAGAAAGCGTTTTCTGCTTCGTGCTGACACTCGCAGTGTAAATCTTGGTCAATTTAGCTTAGATAGAAAGTAATGTCTTCATATCGCATAAGGAAATTAGAATCGTGACCTATTTTCTAATAAGATCACTTATCAAACTTGTAAGTTTGCCTATCAGTTGCCGACATCTTACACGGAAAATCGTGAACATCGAATCACCTGTGACATGTAAACACCTGATAGCTTGGGGATGTATGGCTGTTGTTCTCCAGTAAGAGAACATTTAAAACAGGGAATAGAAATCGTCGTATTTATAATATAAAGCTAGGAATAAGCTGTTCCTGTTGATTTCGTTATTGTAAAAGATCGAGATAAGCGGTTGATGTAGACGATACACATATATAGATGATACATTTCTGTTTAGTTAGATATAAGACATCAATTTATCAGAAAGTGGAATCGAAGGACTTCGCAATCGATTGCAAAATTTGTTAAAAAAATAAATAAATGAAAAATCGTGTCCTTCATTGCTGAATTTGATATTTTCCGCCCTGTTTATTTCAAGCATTTAACATACGTAGAAGGAAGTAATTGTGATATCCGAATAACGATTTGAAAATTTGATACTGTTTAGAGGTGTTTTAGCATTACTGTAGTGACGAAATATCAGTTACAAATTCATTTTAAAACATTTTACATACTGTTATCTTAAGAATGACTAGACAGTTAAAATGCATGAACTGTGTGAAACATCACAGTACATGATTAACATGTCAACAGTACCTTTAAATGGTAGAAAAATTGCTTGAAATGTGTATCCATAGTTTCAGTTTTTCTTTCATTTTGCTGTCGTTAAATAAATAAATGAAACCATACGCTATTTACTGAAGTAAAGCGAGGCGTGTTTTGGGGTAATTATAAACACTATATATATATATAAATTACTTCTTACTAATTTTTCTATTCAATACTATATATATATATTCAGTATAATTCTTTACAGGAAGTCATATTACGTCAAGATTGTGACCACTGCTGTACTTTGTTTGGTCCACATATTGTCTTTACATCAAGAAATTTGGAGCAGACACACCTTGATTTTTAATTTTTTTTTTCATCAACGTTACTTTGCTATAGTAGTATTTACACTTCCGCTTTGGAACTTAGAAATAAATGAAAGAACGTTGAAATCGCGTTTGATTCGAACTGATTATATTGCAGATAGATATTTACAAAATAATTGGACATAGGTTTTCACAACTTATCCCATTCCTTTTCTTCAAAATATACAAATACAAGCAAAATCGCGATAAAGCAATTTACGCAGTGTGTTGTACCAACGATGCAACGTGTTTCGGCTGTATAATTCAGTAGATCTGAAGTCTTAGTTTCGGATCCACACCTGCAATTGTAGCACATACCGAAGAATAAAATTATTTATGGGTAGACCCTACCATCAAAAATAAAATAAAAAAAAAGAAATAACAGTACATCGAAATAATATATCTAATATCGCATTTATGCTTTGAAAATTTATAGAGCTGATGTTTCGGGGATGGTAGGCGGGCATGGGGGTGGAGGTAATCGACACAGAGTACGGACGAAAATCATATATAATATCAAAAATGACGATCGTGTGATATTAGTTCGAAAGTATGCAAACTTATAGTTTCTGTTGAACATAATTCTCGATAATACACGTAGCCACGTAAGTCGAGTTGAAGCATATTTTTTATGGAAGTAACGAAAAACGACTAAAGAAAATTCCCGGTATTTCGAAGCTGTCTGATTTATTAGATGTTTTTAAACAAATTTTTACCTCTCGTAAAAGATATCTATTATAAGTTATCGAAAAATCAAGTTAAGAGCTATTTTTCTTCGCTATACGACACGAAACTTTGATCAAATTTTTCGGTATAGTTTATGATGTCAATTTGTGTCAATTAATCAAATTATACAGTTAAAAAGAAATATATAATTAAGGAGATGGATTAGAAAGTAATATGGCAATATTTTACTTTATTGTGTTGTGAAATTAACTTACCAACTCCATTGAATTTTAGGGGGTGTGACTTTTGTTAGAGCCCGCCATTTTATTCTGTATCGGCTTTAACAGACAGGTGCCTGTTTCGTACATTAAAGTTCCCGCGCTTTATAGCTTTTGGTAATGTTAATAAAATCCAAGATGTTCCGAATGAGGAAAAAAGCTTCTCGGACAATAATTATTTCAATTCAAAGCTCGTTCAATGTATATACTAATTCATTTCTAGCATTAAGAATAATACAATCTTCATATCTGAGACAAATAAAATTTTAAAAACTGTGAATTATATATAGAAATATTATTTTTACAAGCGAACTATTTCTTGATAGTAATTGGCTGCTGTCATTCAAAATGGCGGCCTCCATGCTGTAAGTCACGACAGTAGTTGCCGAGATTAAATTGTACTCTGCGACTAATAGACACTGTGAATTTGGTAAGTATCTATGTGAAGAGAAAGCTTTCTGTCACTTCACCTGAAATGAAAACAAGTATAATCAGTAACTTAATTTTGCGACTCGTAATAGTAACCACATCTTCTCAACTTCAGTGCTCTCGGGATTGTTCATGTACTTGTCAGACGTCCTGCAAGGTCTATGGTAACCCCTGATATTTTCATCTTTTTAGACTTTTTCCATATAGATACACCGTACTGCGAGTTTTATGCACAGTGGACTCATATTTTTTTATTGTAATTATAAATTTGTCTTCCGGTAGTTGTACGTTTTGTTCACTTATAGCCGTCATACTTTATTTCCTGGCTATTCCAGTAGTAATCCAGTTTGTTTTTGAAGCTGTTTAGTGTATTGGAAGTCAGGTAAACTGTTCCATACAGCTGTTGCTCTAATGGAGAAGGAGTTTTTTCCGTAATGATGTTCTTGCATGTTTGGGTATATTTTCAGTGAGTTAGTTCTTGTTCTGGATCTCTCGGAGGTATCAGACCACATCCTTATAAACTGTGTTGTCCCCTCATCATATTTTCCTCTAACTACATTGTACATCTTTATCACATCACTTCGAAAACGCCTGTAGGTTAGGGTTGGCAATTTCAGCATCTTTTATCTCTCCGGATACGACAGATTTCCCATTCCAGGTAGTTGTTTTGTTGCCTTCCTTTGGACACCTTCCAGTTGCTCAATATGTTTCATTTTGTAGGTTTTCCAAACAGCACTGGCATATTCTAAGTAGGTTCTTATAAGTGATTTGTAGAGAGTAATAAATAACTCAGAGTTAAGAAACTTGAAAGTTCTCCTGATCATGATGTTGCCTTTTGTATTTTTTCACTGATATGGTTGTCAAAGGTAAGTTCTTTGTCGAAAGTTACTCCAAGAATTTTCTCTTCTTCAATTGTTGTTCAATACATAGATGGTGTTTTCTGTTCCATGCTTTCCAGTGTGCATGAACTTACACTTACCTTCATGAAATGAAAGCAGCCAATTCTTGCTCATATTTCCTTCAGACTTAACAACTTGGAACATTTTTGTGTCATCTGCAAATAAGTATACAGTTGAGTCCACCAAGTCATTTATGTAAATGATGAACAAAAGTGGCCCAAGCACTGACCCCTGAGGTATTCCAGATGTCACTTTTCCCCATTCAGATGTTGGTCGGTTGACTATTACTCTTTGTTGTGTGTTGTACAGAAAGTCTCTCAACCATGTATGAACCACGCCATTTATTCTGTATGCTTTTAGTTTATTCATTAGCTTGACATGAGGGACCATGTCAAAGCCTTCCTAAAGTCTAAGTATTTACATTCTACATCTAGGGCATTGTCAAGGGCTTCTGTCCATTCTTCAAACACAATTATAATTTGCAAGACTGTAGACCGTCCTGACATAAATCTGTTCTGCTTGTTGGTAAACAATGCGTGGTGATTGGTACCTGTGTTTGACATGTTAAAATATGTAATGAGGAAAAATTCATTAATTTGCCAATGAAATATATACTCACAATGTTTTTTTTTTTCCTGGGAGCATGACATTTTACATCAAACAAAATTATCTGGGTGCAAGGTCACGAAGGTCAAGAATTTATGTGGTGCGGCTCGAAAAAATGGCCGTTTCGAAATACATAACAGTCAGAGCCGATGTCCAGACAATACATTAAAACATGTCAAAAGGGACACAAAGAGTGGACAATAGTTAAAGTACAGAAGTAGTAGACAGGAAAATAAAGTAAATGTCAAAATTCCAAGTGTTGCAAAGGAGGCAGCAAGTCCATTTTGATCCTTCATTATCCCTTTTAATAAAAGATCCGGGGGAGTGGGGGTGGGGTGGGGGGTTTATCACCCCCTGTATATGATCGTGCAATGGAATACAGTCTTCTTGGGCTATCAAATGTCATCTTGACCAAACTGGAATGCCCTACATAGATGTTTCTTACAACAAGCAGTGCTAGGGATATTCTTTCCTCATCTCCTGTATACAGATTAGGATAAAGATAGAGGGAAGCATGCATATTCATTACCCCTAGTCAGGGATATATGAATTTACCTTTAATATAAGAATGGAAAGGTGTGAATATTTTAACTTTACTGAATAGGAAATCACCAGAAATATCAATTTTTTTCACACTGGTCATAAAGGCTTCACAATCTATTTGACTGTCTTTCCATTCTTGAATGAGATGCAAGATCATATCTAATGTTTTTGGTGATGACTATTAGATGTGAGTGAGATATTTAGTTTTACATTGACAATACTTAAACTTCTAATCATCCACAAATTGAACATGATCGTTGCTTTTAAGTAAAAAAGTTTTACATAAAAAAAATGTCAAATTGTATTCTTTCCAATGTGCAATATAACATTTACATATATATATATATTTTACATATATTACTTTTTCCTAAATCTAAGCATACACCAACATTGATTGATGTCAAAAAAAGAATATCGTGATATGGTAATATGTTTTTCAAGGCTATGTAAACTTCCTACCTATATGTAAAATTGGGGTGAAAAAAATTATTCACATAAGCTAAAATGATTGCAGTTGTCTCTCAATAAACATTATATATACCACATCCATTACCACTTAATATTTTATCAGGTCAGAACCTCGGAGGAAGATGGCCAAAAGAACAGCCACAACAGAACTGACGGACAGGAACTGGGACCAGGATGATGAACCAGAAGAGGTTTGTTGATAATAATCAAAAACTTTAAACACCAATATGAGAAATATAGGTTTTCTGCTTTGATTAAACGTAAGATTTCTGTCCTTCCTCTGATCTAGGCAGGTGTTTTGTTTTATCGGAGTATGTAAAATGTGCTGTATGCTGTGCTCGGGAGGTCTGTTAGTATACACGAACTTATTAGGGCAGCTCATTTTTTTCCAAATTTTGAGAAACTCATCTGATGTAGGGAACATGTGAGCACTACAAGAAGTACTCATTAGCTGAAAGGCCATGATAGTTGATGTATATCCTGTTAAGTAAATAAATAACACAACAAGTAGTTGTTCGGTGTGTGAAAAGTTTCTCATTCCTTCCCTTTGTTATGGAGTTATACACCTTTGTTGAAATCCACTTTTAAAACTGCAGTAGATCTCTATGACATAACTATTTCCTTATTTTGCACATCGGGATATACCTTATCTCATTCAACTTTTTCTGATGGATATAAACCTCTTTGAAATAGCATAAATCCTTCATCTGAACAATGCCCCGTCTACTCCGAGTCAGATTGTAATCAAATTTTACACATATTTTGGTTACCCTCTAAGAATGTGCATGTGTGTTGATAAGGGGCTACAATTATATATCTGGAAGGGTGGGCATATATTGTTATCCAAATCTGTCCATCCCATCACATTCTCTTCTGAATGAATCAATGTCATTGTCATATTTTGAGAACCATTAAACATATTTGGTTCATCTTTACCCCATAGCATCACAACATCTAAACTTTATCATATTAAGATGGTCATTGGTCAAGGTGTAGGTGTCAAAGGTCATATTTAACAACTACTGCATATACATCAAACAATGATACAGAATCAGGGCATGCATGTTGTAGACATTCTTGTTTTCTTTCAAACACTTTCTTATTGAGTTATGTCCCTTCTTATAGAATTAATGTATAAATCTTTATCCATTTATATTTCTTCAAACACCTGCAGGTAATTTCATTGAAATGTGTCTGTGTTGAAGGTTGGAGAGTTTGTGTATAATTTTATATATGTGTTGTGGGGTTGGGGTGTATGTATATTATCTTGTGTCTGTGTTGTGGGGTTGGGGTGTATGTATATTATCTTGTGTCTGTGTTGTGGGTTGGGGTGTATGTATATTGTGTCTGTGTTGTGGGTTGGGGTGTATGTATATTGTGTCTGTGTTGTGGGTTGGGGTGTATGTATATTGTGTCTGTGTTGTGGGTTGGGGTGTATGTATATTATCTTGTGTCTGTGTTATGGGTTGGGGTGTATGTATATTATCTTGTGTCTGTGTTGTGGGTTGGGGTGTATGTATATTATCTTGTGTCTGTGTTGTGGGTTGGGGTGTATGTATATTATCTTGTGTCTGTGTTGTGGGTTGGGGTGTATGTATATTATCTTGTGTCTGTGTTGTGGGTTGGGGTGTATGTATATTATCTTGTGTCTGTGTTGTGGGGTTGGGGTGTATGTATATTATCCTATGTCTGTGTTGTGGGTTGGGGTGTATGTATATTGTGTCTGTGTTGTGGGTTGGGGTGTATGTATATTATCTTGTGTCTGTGTTGTGGGTTGGGGTGTATGTATATTATCTTGTGTCTGTGTTGTGGGTTTGGGTGTATGTATATTATCCTATGTCTGTGTTGTGGGTTGGGGTGTATGTATATTATCTTGTGTCTGTGTTGTGGGGTTGGGGTGTATGTATATTATCTTGTGTCTGTGTTGTGGGTTGGGGTGTATGTATATTATCCTATGTCTGTGTTGTGGGGTTGGGGTGTATGTATATTATCTTGTGTCTGTGTTGTGGATTGGGGTGTATGTATATTATCTTGTGTCTGTGTTGTGGGGTTGGGGTGTATGTATATTATCTTGTGTCTGTGTTGTGGGTTGGGGTGTATGTATATTATCTTGTGTCTGTGTTGTGGGTTGGGGTGTATGTATATTATCTTGTGTCTGTGTTGTGGGTTGGGGTGTATGTATATTATCCTATGTCTGTGTTGTGGGTTGGGGTGTATGGATATTATCCTATGTCTGTGTTGTGGGTTGGGGTGTATGTATATTATCTTGTGTCTGTGTTGTGGGTTGGGGTGTATGTATATTATCTTGTGTCTGTGTTGTGGGTTGGGGTGTATGTATATTATCTTGTGTCTGTGTTGTGGGTTGGGGTGTATGTATATTATCCTATGTCTGTGTTGTGGGTTGGGGTGTATGTATATTATCTCATGTTAGTATTGTAGGCTATAGAATTTTTGTATTAACCTGTTTTTTGTATTGTAGGCTGGCGAGTTTGCTCAGGCAACAACAGAGATTATAAAACAGAGACAGATCATTAAAGCCAAAAGAAAAGGAAGCAGTGTTGAGGTAAGACAGAACCAATTGTCAAATTTTATTATCTATTTACAGATTTCAACCTCCTTAATTGTCCTACCAGTTAGTAGTATTTGAAAGTCTGATCTTAAAAGTTTTGGTGAAAAGGAACAAAATTTTTTGATGAAATATAAATATTAAATTCACAAATACAGAATGTTTTTAAGTCTGTTCTACTTGTAGTAGGTTGTAAAGGGAGTTAGAAATGATTAATGATCATATTAAACACAAACTATTTCATTTTTTCATAGGGAGGAAGCAAATCTTTTACTGGGTTCTCGGGATTCAGTTTTAAGCCCACTTCAACAAGTACTCCATTTAGCTTTAATGTCAAATCAGTGACAAATGGTGAGTCAGATACTAAGAAGCCAGCAGCCAGTGAGATTCCAGTCAAGACTCTTCCGGCCAATAGTCCCGTCAAATCCACATCTGCCAGCAATGGTGCAAGTAAAGCAGAAAGCGCAGATAGTACTACCTGCAACACCTATTCAGAAAATCTGCGGAAACTCAACGAGAGTGTGTTGTCATGGATACAGAAACATGTGGAAAAAAATGCATACTGTATACTGACTCCAATATTCAAAGACTATGAAAAACATCTTGATGAACTGGAGAAGGAGAAATCTGAGCGTTTGGCTAAAGATAATGAGGCAGAAAAAAAGACAACCACAACTTTTTCCGCTAGTATCAGTACAGGTAGGAAGCCAAAGCAATGCAAAGCAAAAATTGATCAGTGATCATTTCATTATTATAAATTATAATAAACTTTATTTTACAAAAAATTGCAAAGCAAGCTTTCAAGTTTTATAAATCACTCTTTTTGGTCAAGATGGAAGTACACAAGTGGTATTACTGTGGGTCTGATACCATTTCAGTTCGGCACAGAGAATAAAACCCTGAATGCCTAGGTGAAAGGAAAGTGTGTTATCACTACACCACCCAACCAACCTAAATCATTTCACTTTTATGGAAAACCATTTTCATATGCAAATATTTAGCTATTCATCTTAGTTCTGTTATATTGTAATTTAGCAGTACAGAATTTGGTTTCATCATTATAAACAATGCCTGATTTTCTTGTAATAAGCCCACCTACCTCTTTTAAATTCAGAAAAATTACTTTTCATTGTGCTATAATACTTGATTCCCTACTTTTGAGTTAAAGGTTGTGTGCTCTAAAGAAGATTCTGTATTTTTTCTTAATTTAAATTTTTTTTAAGTCCTTAGAGTTTCTTACAGGTTTTTCCAGAGATTTATACACAGAACCATTATTTTAACTAAATTCTTCTTCCCCTTAGGGACTGAAGCTGCTGTGTCATCAAGTAAACCTACGTTCTCCTTTGGAACAACTTCTAACACAACATCTACAAGTGGATTTAGTTTTGGGTCTAAAGCTGCCACCACAGCTTCCGAGGGTACCAAGGGAACAAATGGAAGCTCCTCATTTGGTGCTACAGCGTCCACAGGCACCGGTTTCCCGGGTTTTAACCTGCAGTCAAATCTTGGAGCTAAACCATCACCATTTTTTGCTGTTGGTAATTCGAAGGGTGATGCAGGCTCTTCAGAAGGTATGGTCTTTCTCAAGCTTACGTTCTTTAAGTCATTTTCCAAGGAAGATTTATGAAATAAAGCAATGAATTAAGATAACTGAAAATGGCCCAAATGGAGGGTTCATTTTCAGTTTTAAAATGTTCAAAGCCCCTTGGTCCCAGAAGGAATATCCCTGCATTTCTGACTAGTTTTTACAAATGAATTTTGGATGAAATTATTATACTTCTGGTAATACTATTGGTACACATTATTGAAATATACAAGCTTTTAACTTCCAAATAATTCTTTTAGCACATTATCTTTATTTCATAATGGCATATTATTCAATATGCTGTCAGTTGGTTTGTTATAAAAAGTTTAAAAAGTTGTTTTCTTTTCAAAAACTTATTTTGACTATCTGCCAAGTATTGGACCTGACAATCCTTTACAAAATATTAACATACTAATACACGATAGAATTGTCTCCATTTAATTACTTTTTTCAAAATGATTTCATTGGAAAATTATTGGAAGACAAGAACCTAAAATTTAGAAAAGTTCATGAAAAAAAATGAAAATTGATAAGTTATTAACGAGAGTGAAGGTTGGAAGCATACATATACATATTATAATTCCATATTTAATGCTGTGATGTATTTTTATTCTGTATGAGATAAAATTCTGTGTGAACAAGATATCTATCAATGTATCTTTTTTCATCTGATTCAGCTGCTGAGGAAGAAGAATATGAACCCCCCAAACCAGAATCCACAGAAGTCAAGGAGGAAGGAGCTCTTCACACCGTCAAGTAAGTCACAAACTGTGTATCCACCATCTTGGTTCATCCTTTTGCCAGGGACAGTCATTGGTTATAGATAGTTACATACTCGATGGGTTAGAGCATTTGCCTAGGTAAACCTCGGCTGAAGATCTGAGGCGCCTGGTCTGACAGTCCCTACTTGTCCTTTGGGGGTTTGTGTTTTTCGAAGCTGAGAAACGGACTGGTATGGGTTGTCATGGTTGTCTTTCTTGGGACAGACTTTTTACCCCTATTGCTGTAAATGATAGTGATGGGCCTCTGTCTGTTGTTCAGTAAGGTAGACACCGCCTATTAGAAAGAGTCCCTGTCTCAAAATGGCCCTGGCTGTTCACAGTGAGATAACAAACAATCTTTTCAGTAGCTTAGTTTTAGATACAGTGGAACCCCTGCAAATTGATCCTTCTCAGAATAAATCACCTATTAAAACTGACCAAAATGGTGATGTACAGAAACTTTTTTTTTTTGAACTTCCCAATATCGATCCCTGTCATTTCTGTATAACAATATTATTTTGCGTCAGAAATAATTAAAGTATAGTAAAATTACTCCTGAAATTTAACCATACCTAAAAGATCAAAACCCCGAGTTCCAACCTGCGAACAGTTAAACCAACACCTGTGACAAGGTTATGCATTGTGCTTAATGCACATGAGTAGTTTTTGTATATGTAACCCTGACAGGGAAGATTATCATCGACATGATGTTTAATGATTAGCCCAACTTCATCAGATGGGACTGGTCCAAAGAATAAAATGGCGGACAGGCAGCCATCTTGGATTTGATTGAGTAATTATTGTTATCCCTATTTCTTATTCTTATATATCTCTATTTCTACTGGCTGGATTTCTCTCAAATTTCATATGTAGGCTTCCCTATGTCCCTTGTGCCCATTTTATTTTGTGTGATCAGAAAGACAAAATGTCTGACAGTTAATGTGGGTGTAGGTTTGTATCCTGTGTTCTGATGTTTCTGTTCAACAGAATGGTCATTAAACAATAACAGTATTAGAGGATCTGTCTGTCTAATTGTCCATATGTGATATTGTAGGTTCATGAGCATAGTTAAATGTCCATTAGACTATAACATCTAGTTCTTTATTCTTATACAATATGTGATCATACAGACAGTCTGTTCTGTTCTCCAGTAACTCTTGATTTGTTCCAGATGCAAGTTGTTCTACCAGAAGGCAGGTGCTTGGACAGAACGTGGAATAGGATTTTTACATCTCAAAAAGTCTGACGACAAAACACAGCTTGTTGTACGGGCTGATACAAGTTTAGGTATGTTGTTATCATGTCTGCTCTTTTCTGTAAAGCTATTAAGAAAATATGCATCAGTTCACTGCAACATTAACAAAAATGGAACTGTACGCAAGAAAAATAATGAATCACCACTGTGTTATTAAGATCGGCATTTCTCAGCCTTCAGGAAAAGATTATAATGTGATGCACTTGACAAAACCTTGTACTTTACTTAAATCCTTACTCACAATTTGAGCAAAATTTGTCTCCATCACCTGAGTTAAAAGATTCTGGAACTTTTTTTTTCCTATGAAAAAAGTACGGAAGAAAAAAATATTTCACATGGTAAAATTTGTCAAATGTTTGAATCTCTGCCCTGGTTTATTAATATTTGATAGACCTGGTATTATAGAACATAGGTATCCTTAATGAAAAATGTCAATTACATATGATCAAAAATGAAACTGAACAGCTATTTTCAGCTTATGATTACTATTGCCAACAGTAATATCTATGTATTGGATCTGTTTAAATAACAGATATACTTATTATACAACGTTATTTTACTTTTATTACAACATGCAAGGTGTTGATTAATCTTAATACTTATTTAAATGATAAAAACAAGCAAATTCTTTGTAAAATATTTCTCAATGTGAACGCCCACATTTTAATGACTTTATTGTGAAATCATTTCAGGAAACATCCTTTTGAATATCATTCTCTCCAGCTCTCTGCCCCTGAACCGCCAGGGCAAGAACAATGTGAGTTTGATGTGCGTGCCTAACCCACCTCTGGACTCCAAGGAAGAACCAAAGGCCACAGCGATGTTAATCAGAGTGAAGACTGCAGAAGATGCAGATACACTCTTCGAAAAAATGAAGGAATTGAGAAAATAACACTATTAAATTTATAAATATATATCAGCTTAACGATAAATGAAGTGAAACCACGGAGAAAAATATGTGAAACTTTGTGAAAGTGCATAAGTGTTGACTTTCCTGGTGTAATGTGAATACACTGTTTCTTTACATCTTTAAAATCAATTCTGCTTCTAGTTCAGGTTTTAAAAAAACTGGATAATCTATGTTTTCTATGGAATCTATGGGAACTTTGTGGTTTAAATATTATTTCTGTGTGTTAGAGTTGTAAGTGCTGCTTGGATAATTAGAGACATGGATGAAAGCAGACTTGGAGGTTGTTTCTTTTCTATGACAGGAAATTTCATGAATGATAAAATATGTAAATTTCTGATGATGTAACTTTGGACATGGGATATGATCATGCCTTGAACAGTAATATACAATTCTTTATCCACTATTGAAATGCTGTTATTATGTGAATGTTTTGTATTACCATGAAAATAACACATACTTACTCAAAGTAGATGTGTCAGATGTTATGTTTATCATGTTGATGTTGAAAGACAAATTAAGGTTTTCCATTCAAACTAACAGGCTATCAGTCCCCGAGGCTGGTTAGACAAATTAGATGGAAAGACACAAGAGAAAGTTTTTCTGCTAAACGTTTGGGGTAAATCTTTCATGATTGGGTTATTACAAATTCATAATATTCTTTAATTTACTTGTACACACAATAGACGCAGGATGCCAAGAGAATTGGAAAAGAAACAAAAAGTTGGTCTCCATTGATGCAGTGTGCTAAGAGAATTGGAAAAGAAACAAAAAGTTGGTCTCCATTGATGCAGTGTGCTAAGAGAATTGGAAAAGAAACAAAAAGTTGGTCTCCATTGATGCAGTGTGCTAAGAGAATTGGAAAAGAAACAAAAAGTTGGTCTCCATTGATGCAGTGTGCTAAGAGAATTGGAAAAGAAATGAATAATTGGTCTTGGTTGACGCAGGGTGCTAAGAGAATGATTGGTCTTCTTTAAAACTTTGATGTTTGGATGTTGACAATGGAAACGGGAAGAAGCATAATAACAGGATATTTGATTACAAACGTATATACAATGGCAAGTATAATCCATAGCATTTAAAAGAGCACGATGTCAATCAATTTTGCTTTGATTCGCTTTATGAAGTTATGTTTTTGTAAGCAAAAAATCCATTAAAGTTCATATCATCCTGTTCTCATAGACTGATCTCAGTCGCCCACTTGTAATGATTAAGACCGGATTATTTTTTTTACCACTGAAACAAAATTCATGAACTTGTGTCTTTCAATCTTATTAACAATGGAGGCCTGTATGCAATTTGTTTTCGAGAAAATTGGAGAAATGTGCATAATCTGGAAACAAGTTAAACCAGCTACAAAGTGCTTGAAATAACCACAAAATTTTGTAAAATGAATGAAAAAAATAGGTTTTGCTGTGTCATGTGATCTTTACCAATTGCAAGAAAAATTGTAATTGGAGATATATTGATATTTATCTCGTAAAAATTGAAACCTGCCGATAAGGCTTTCACCCTCCTCCAAATGGCTGTTCAGTATTCTGCTTTCCATTGTAACAATCAAATGGATGAGCCTACTCATTGAAATCTTGATGGGAAGACCTTTACTCATATTTTTATGCTATAAATCAGCACATTTTCCATCCTTCTGTACTACACCCATATCTGATAGAATAAACTAACACAAAATGTCGTGTAAAAGGAATGTATCATTGTCAGGTGAAAAAGGCTCTGGAAACCTTCAGCGTTGACACTTGAATGTCTTTGTGCATGTACAATTAATTCAATTCTATTCAAAGCAAACTTTGGCTATTATTATGATTTATATATCACATCAAAGATATTTGATATGTAACATGGCAACTGATTTTGACCAATGTGTTGTGAGCTCTATGGTTAGACACCTCTGTATATGCCTACTTTGTAGCCTTGTAGCCTTAGTATGTGACATGGCTGTCAGAACCTGAACCTGTAAATACACATTTTCCCAAATAATTCTACGAAGTGTAGGGAAATGAAATAATTTTTTAAGCTGTATTTATTTTCTATTCTGATTCTTACTGGTAACAGGCTGGAAATTAGCTTATTTCTGCACAAGACTTTTTATAGGGTATCAGGCGAGTATATTGTGATGCAGCCCTTAATTCATCGTTCTGTTCATCCACGTCACCACCTCAGACAATAACTTTAATATCCACTGACTGATCAAACTCAAACTTTGCATACGGCATTTTTTTTATTGGGAATGCTTTCTTTAGATTGCTTTAAGGGTCAAAAGTCAAGGTCACTGTTATTATCTATAGAAAATTGGTCCATTTCAGAACAATGAAATGAGTTCCATTGAACCGATCAAACTCAAACTCGATGTTTTTCATTGAGAGGCCAGAGTGCTTACTTAAAATTGTCTTTTGGTTCAAAAAGTCGGACCACAAGGTCAATGCTACTGTAGATGGTTACCGCCCAATAACTCGTGTTCTTTAGACCAATAAACCAAAACAGTGCCTTCTAACACGACATGGGATTGCATTTTTATGTGAAAGGTCAAAAGTCAAGGTCACTGTTATTTCAAGTATAAATTCATGTCCGTTCAGTTCCATTGGACTTAATAAAATCAACCCTTTAAACACTGTTATATCCGCTTAATATCTCAATTCCTTAAGCTGAATATCTTTTGAAAGTTTGGTATCTCATCATTACCTCATTAGGAGATATCTTATGTCTCTAAGTGATTTAATGTTCGGCTATTCCTCTCTTGTATGACAAGTTCTTTTTGCCCCAGTTCTCGTTTTGTGAACCTGACATTTCTTAGATATGACATAAATTTACACGGCAGCTGAATAATGTGAATTTCTGTTGTTTGTATTCTTCTCTTCATTGTTTGATGATTTTGAGATTTGTTTGTCGAATAATATTTATCGATCAATTTACTTTTTTGGAATTCTTCAAAATTTTCAATACTTTAAATTGAATTATGTATTTTACAGTTACATAATCGTAAGTTGTAGCACAGATGAAGTAGGTAAGGATAATTCATCTTCACTTGTTAAATCTCGGCTCATTCCGTAACTATGTACTTGCGTCAGGTGGAACGTACGAAATAGGTCGAGTTGTTGCGAATGCTCTCCGTTTCGCTCCACTGCAAGATATAGTAGGGTGTGTATGATTGAAGCGTGACGTAGCGGAGCGGAATTCCAGTTTTAATTGTGATTCAGTTCAATATCAAGACATTGTGTGGTAAAAAAAAGGATGTGAAATTCGATCGTAGTGACTCATATTTTATTTAGCAGCAACCTTTTATGAAATGTGTTGTTAAGCTTCAACCCCACCCACCCACACACCATGTCCTTTTATCAATACTTTTGTAACAGAAATATCTTCGAGGATGATTCTATCAAACTATTCTTTTCGGAAACCCTCTTCCTGTAAGGTTATGGAACTTGATCTATTGTGTTTTGTATTACAAGGTACATCGAACACCGAGTCTAATACGTGTATTTCGAGTTGAAAAAATAACTTTCTTTCTTAAATCCTGTCTGATTTTGACATAATGTAAAATTGCCCGTACGGTACTATCAATCTGTGATTTTACTTTTTGTTGATGTCGATAGTCAGAATTCTGACCTATATAAAACAGGATTTTATCGATTGATGTGTAGGCATTTAGACAGTGTTTTATATGATTTATTATATTGTTATATATATATAAAAATAATACATCGAAATTAAAATACAAAGTCATTGACGGTCGTTTAATATCTCGATCAACTAATTTTTACGACAATTTCACAGTTTCAAGCACATTAAGGAAATGAAATCACAAATAGATACTCGGAACACTTCGGACAAACTGTAAATGGGTTATTTGTTTTATTTCATTTCATTTATTTGCAATGAAATTTTGACCCACACATTTTGGCAAATTATGGCAATGTTGTATTTTTTGCAAACGCTGTTATATTAGCAACCCACAGGATCCGCAATCAGTGCCGTCATCATTAAGCGTAACACATTAAGCGCGAAAGCTGGCGTCATTTTAAATAACAGGAGCACAAACATTCCCTCAGTTCTTACATCCGCAACATTCATTATTCAATAACTCCATCTAAAATATGAGGTCTGCTTCTAATGAACATTTATGAGGGACTTTCCTTACAATTTCGTTATCACAAACATGGTCCTTATATATGAACCCCATAAAAAACGGAAGTACATTTTCACGTGAAAAGTTTTAGTTGTGACCTTTTGTATACTACTGTTATTATCAATCATATAAAGTTGTGAGTACAAATGATGAAATGGCGTGCTTTTAGTTTACTCCCGACACTGTTCACACGGACACATGCGCAATGCGTAAAATCGTGAAGCCTGCACGTGCAATCATGGATGTTGCCAATACAGGCGAGTTTTCAACGAGACGTGTCCTTTATAAAGTGTTCCATCCAAAAAAAAATTCATTCAGTGAAGTTAGCGCAAGTGATGTTCATGAAACACAATGATTTATACAATTGCAGAGAGGAATGGCTCTCGGAAGTTTGCAGGTGGGTACTTCCACATCTATTGTTGCCAGGCGCTTTGGATATCATGTTAGCACTATCACCAGACTTGCTGGACGCTTCCAACATACGGGTTCTGTTTCCGATAGTCCCTGGACGGGAGACCAAGGTTGACAACACAGGCCCGAAATCGCTACATCCGGGTAACTCACCTTCGTAACCGGACCCAGTCTGCAACCAGAACAGCAGCTGCTATCAGAGTTAAAAGACGCCCAGTGTCCGCCGAGACCGTCCGGCGTCGCCTATGTGAACATTCCATTAACTGCCGACGTCCTTACGTAGGGCCAATTCTCACTCAGTGACATCGACAGCAACATCTTCAATGGGTAAGGCATCATCAACAATGGCGACTTGTTGACTGGCGACGTGTTCTCTTCTCATACGAGTCTCGATTCCATCTGATGGCCGATTGCCTGTGTGGCGTTGACGTAACGAACATTACTCCGATTGTTGTGTTCTCCGTTGACGTTGGCACAGAGATTCCTCCAGGAACGGAACAATTTGCCCCAGGCATTCTTCCAGGCTCTCAGCAATTCCATGAGACGACGTTGCACAACCTGTATCAATGCTCAACGCATTGTTGAATGATTTCATGGGGGTATTGTCATTAAATAGACAATAGAATTCATTTTATGAAATGAAATGAAATCTAGTCACATTTTGTTAAATTGCAATTTTTAACAAACTACTGATTAATCAGTTCCTGTTTTTTTAATTTCTTACAAAAACGTGTCTTAAGTCTGACTTGTGTTTCTTTTAGGGCTCAGTATATTTTAATTACCCCTAACAGAAAGTGAGGGGAAAATCTCTCTCAAATTTCATCTGTCTGTTTAATGTCTAACATCTGGTGTCTAAACCCGAGAGATCTGTCTGTCAAATGTCTAACATCTGGTGTCTAAACCCGAGAGATCTGTGTCAA